TAATTTCTTGAAGAATAATGCTACTCTTACCACATTTGTATACCACATCTTTATACTATTTTATGTGGCAGCTGAGGTGGACAACCACATCAATTAAAATTATTTAATATTTTCTTTTCTTTTATGATTTATTCCAGTATTTGTTTTTCTAATTGCCTTAATTAAAATACACTTCATTGATTTAATTGATGTGACATATAATAAAGACATTTCACATCATGTGGTATAGAAATATGGGATAAAAATGTGGTTAAGTGTAGCATTACTCTTTCTTGAATACCAGGTGAACTTTTAGGTATGTACATAATTACTATATGAATTTTGACAATCAATATTGCACATAACTCATTAACACGATATGAATTTGCACAAAATAATTAGTATTCACATAAACTTTTAGAGGTATGTGCCCATTTACTATTTGAACTTTTAATTTTGATATTAACCACATGAATTTTTGGGCATGTATATTTTAGTCAATTTATATATTATGGCCAAGGACTGAAATATCGAGGATATTATCATTTTTTTCAGGTCAAGGATATTTTGGAACATATCCATACACATATCGTATAAGTATCGATAATATTGGAAAATATCGACGTCGATAATTTCTCTTACACTTCAGCAACATTTGACCACAATATCGCTATAATATCGAAAATATCTAGAGATGATGAAGACAGTGAAAAATTTAAAGAGTTATTTACACTAACACCCCATGAGGTTTCTTGTTTTTCATAAAACCCCCCTCATGTCTCAAAAATTACGCTAACACCTCATGAGGTTTCAGTTTGTTTTCACAAAACCCCTGATTGATTGTCCAAAAATTGATGATTTCATTGCAAAAAAAAAACTTATGCAAATGGCAAAATTAACCTCAATGAAGTATATGCACTCCAATCTCAAAGGCCAATTTTGTCATTTGGAGAATGTTTTAGTATAAAATCATCAATCTTTGGATGAAAAATCAATGAAAAGGAGTTTTGTGAAAAAAATTTAAAACCTCATGGGGTGTTCTTGTTATTTCTAAAACATCAAGGATTTTTGTGAAAAAGCAGAAAACCTCAGGGGGTGTTAGTGTAAATAACTCAAATTTGAAAATTATAGGAACTCTATATGGTACTAAGTCACTTATGTATCTTACCATGAAATGTATAAAGTGTAAAATATTGTAGTAAATCATTATAAATAAATGATAATGGTGTGTTTAATATTCTTTCATTAATTACTGTAGGGGAATTTTTCTTCCAACAGCTACAAATAGGCTGGGTTGCCGTAAGGAGCGAATTGATAAAGTTATCCCCTGTGTTTGAGTTCGAAGATCAAGCCCCAAGAATGCTTTGAAAGGACAGAGATGCCTTAGGAAATACCTTGGTTACCTTCACCAACAAAAATAACAACAGCTTACAGATAGATTTTCTAGCTTGGCATGAGAAGTTTGTGGCATGGGAGCTAAGCATTCATAAGTTTAGCATGAGAGAGAGAAAGAGTTGCGATTTCCAGAAGAGGAGATGGGAGGAGATGGAGGAAAATGGCTTGAAATTGCAAGGGTTTTAAGGATGAGAGATGATGATTGCTCTCTGGATGTGTGTTTATGGAAAGAGAGGAAGAAGATGGAAGCATGGGTGACTTTAGCATATTTCCAATAGCTTGACGAAAGCTTTATCAAGCTCCTGGGTGATATGACAGAAGAGAAAATGGGAAGCAATGGAAGAACAAGGATTGGAATCGAAGGGTTCTAGAGATGAGAGATGATGCTTGCTCTCTCTGGATGTGGGTTTTGAGAAAGAGAAAGGAGGAAGATGGAAGAATAAAGCATGAAATTGAAGGGTTCCAGAGGGGATGCTTGCAACAACCGAGGTGAGTTGTTTTTGCTGGATAGAAAGTGGCTCCTTTTATAGGTGTTGGAAACCTTAATTTTGTCAAGTCACCCTCTCCCATTTTCCTTCACTTTCTTCCATTCCATCTTATTTGGTGAAACTTCCCTAGCCTGAGCATGTAGGCATGAAGCTTTTTGGAGTTCCAAGGTCCTCAGGCATCTGGACTTCTCCATGTGGGTGAGGAGCCACCCACTTTTGTTTCTTGTTTTCTTACCAAAACTTGAAGAGGAAAGAATGGGTAAGGGTGCTAGTCAAAAAAGGTGATCAGCACATGAGTTTGCTTGGTTTTGATGGTTTTGACAGATATGCTAGATATTTTTGACGATGCTGGGCTGAGCTGTTTTGTTTCCAGCGGCTTATGAGTTCCCTTTGATTTCGTCAGACTGCTGGAAGCTTTGGCTGATGTGGAATTTTTTATGGGCTGTGGCTATTGGATATTTTTCTAAGATGTTTGGGCCTTTTCTTAAGGTGATGGGCTATTGGGTTTTCTCTCATGCTTACCCATATGTTTGGGCTCAAGGAATGGGCTTGAGTTTTGGTGCTCCCAAGTAGCCCAAAACTTCCACTCCTTGGACCATCAATGGGCCTCGTGAATGCTCATAACCATCCATACCACAACCCGCTCAGCTAGCCTCAGACATTTGCGTAGCTTGGGCCCACTTAAGCTTGTAGCGTGGCATATTGCTTAAATAAGGATTTTTCGCTTGGTGTTGTACTGGGTTGAAAATATATTTGGGTCAAGTCTTGGATTTTTTGGGCCTCAACAATTATTACATATTTTCTACACTCACAGTGTTTGTTAGCTCGCTATATAATCAACTTAAATAAGAATGCATTTCCTTCCAAATTTTTGTGATTAAGTAACAGATAATTGACTAAATAAACATCCTTAAAAGTTTCAAGAAAAATTTCCAAGTATTTCTTACAAATTCCGTGGTTTTTATTCAACTTTTATTGATATAGATAATTTCCAGATATTTTCATCAAAATTTATGTATTTTGGACCATCGATATTTCTGACCTTAATTATGGCTCACATAAATCGATTTCCCACCCTACCCATACTTAAGAAGCCATTATAATGCCAAAATTGGAGCCTAACAATAACCCAATTCCCTTGCAAATCAATTTCTCTCCATACTAAATCCTAAATAATTCTATAATGCAATCATCTTTGAAGTCTAAATGCAGATGAACTAAAATATTCATTCAAATGAGGGCATGTGATATATTTTCACAAAAAGTGGACGAATATATCTTGGGTGGTAAATTGTAACTCTTTACCAAGTACTAGTAAAAATTAAAAGTTTAGATAGTAATTGCGTACATGCCAAGTACTAGTAGAAATTGAGAATAAGCTATTGGAAGATTGCCACAAGGCAAGGCGTACGTGTGTTTGCCCAAATGGGGGAATATAAGAATTTTGGGGCTTCACTTCACACACGTATAGTGTTGCATTGTAATTGGCGTAAAATTAATATGCTAACTATCCAATTAAAAATACTCGCAAATGTACGAATATATTGGAGTATAGATTTGTAAATATGAGGTCGTTCCCAAGAGGACTTGATAGTTTATAAACAAATCTAGTTTGAGTATGTTAAGAATACTTAATTTAAACACAATCACAAGAGATGAAACAAGAAAAGTGAAAGGAAAAATAGGGGAAAAGCGACTGGTCGTTTTGTATAGAGACGAAATGTCTCGGGAGAGGAAAAAAGCGACATATCGTTTTTATGAAAGTGACCGGTCGTTTTACACAGAGGCTAAATTTCCTCAAATTTCCAGCTTCAACCTATGTTCCTTTTTGACTTGTAACTTTCCAATCATTAGGCCACATTTTATGTTCTTTATATGGTTGGATTCAGTACAAACAAATGAAGAACCCAACACAGACCAAATGTCGAAATAAGCTATAGAAGTGAGTAGGATTCAGTAAAAAGAACACTCAATGTTTCAAACAATAAACACAAAGGGGGAGGGGTTTGTGATTCAAGTTACCTAATTCTAATGCTTAGAATGTAATCGAACTCTAATTTTAACAAGATTAACAAATGTGATTATCAAAGTGTAATTCAATGGTGACAAACACTAGAGCATTCGGAATCCACCCTAAGTAATCCTACTTGTTAGGATTTTGGCTCGTCAAATATGTCCTAGTTGGTTTAGGATTGTTTTAGGAAAATTAGAGGTATACCAATTCTTGTCCTAGAGGGATTAGGAAAGAATTTCAGTTTTCCTTATTCAATTCAGGTTTGGATTTCTAGAAGTCTATTAGGATTTGGATAAGTGTAATTTCCTAATCCACTTAGGAATAGGAATCCAATCAGCTTTGGGACATGTAAGCCAACTCTATATCTATAAATAGGGTGTGGCAAGGCTTATTTTAAGGAGAGGAAAAACAGCCAGAGACAGCCAAGAGTTTTGAGATTAGTTCTAGGGTTGCAAAAGTTTTGTAATCTCTATTATTAATCAAAGGAGCGGTGATTTCTCTACCTAGAGAAATCACAACTGGATGTAGGCAAAAGTTCTGCCGAACCAGTATAATTCTTGTGTTTTTCTAAGTGTTTTAATATTTGCTAGTTTAGTCTATTGCCGTTGGTTACATCAAAGAACAAGATCTAGAAGGCGGGTTATTTAATAAGTGGTATCAGAGCCAGGTTAAGGGGTTCTACGATGTCTAAAGGGAAGATGAATGCGGATCTAGGACCTGCGTTAAAGCCCTTTGATGGCAAGGATGACTTCCCAGATTGGCAAAGGATGATGAAGAACGTATTGATACAGCAAGATTTGGATGATGCACTCAGCGGTGAGAAGCCGACAGGCATGACAGACGCAACATGGACCAAGGTTCTCAAGAAGGCCAAGAGTTCCATCGAGATCCATCTCACAAGATCAGTTCGGTCGCACATCACCGAAAAGATGACTGCCCAAGAAGCATGGGAAAAGTTGGAGAATGTTTATATGGGCAAAACCGTGTCCAATAAACTTTTTCTAAAGGATGAACTATTCGGACTTTGACTGGAAGAAGGAGGTGATATTGAAGATCACGTATGCAGGTTTCAAAATTGCATAACTAATCTTCAAAAGGTCGAAGAAACTTACAAAGATGATGATATGGCTATCATCTTGCTGAGGTCTTTACCTTCGTCTTTCAAGCACTTTCGAACAACTCTAATGTTTGGAAAAGAGTCCCTGAAGCTTGAAGACGTGATTCAAGCTCTTCAGTCATATGCTAAACTAGATGATATAACTGAAAGCTCTCAAGGCCTTTATGCCAAAGGCAAGGAGAGGGGGCGGGAAAAGACGAAGGAAGACAAAACAGGCAACAGAGGTAGGTCAAAATCCAAGAAGAAAAAGGAAAAGAAGGAAGGTTGCTTCGAATGTGGTTCAGCCGATCATTGGAAGAGGAACTGCAAGATTTGGAAAGAGAAGAAAGCCAAGAGGGAAGGAAGCTCAGGTTCAGCTAGTGCAGTCACCGAGCATGAGAGTGACGGGGAGCTTCTTTCAGTAACATCAGGCTCCAAGGCTTTCACAAATTGGATTTTGGATACCGGATGCACTTTTCATATGTGTGCAGTAAGAGAATGGTTCGATACTTACAAAGAAGTCAGCAGCGGGGAAGTTTTAATGGGGGACGATTCTTCATGTCCTGTAAAAGGAATCGACATTGTTCAAATCAGAATGTTTGATGGGATGATACGAGTTTTGGGGAACGTTAGATATGTCCCTAGACTAAGAAAGAATTTGATTTCCTTGGGTACTTTAGATGAGGCCGGCTATGGGTACGAGTCTAAAAAGGGAAGACTCAGGGTAGCCAAAGGATCACTGGTGGTAATGCGGGGTGACCTACAACCCAATAAGCTATATAAGTTAATTGGGACCACTATAGTTGGGGGAGCAGCTGTTTCTGTAAATCAAGGTATAGAAGACAAGACTGAACTCTGGCATCATAGGCTCGGGCACATAAGCCAGAAAGGGTTGCAAGAATTACACAAGCAAGGCCTGTTGGGAGGCATGTCATCTTGCAAACTGGACTTTTGTGAATATTGTGTTCTTGGAAAGCAAAGGAAGGTATCATTCACGAGTAGCAGTGCAGATAAACGAAGCAAAGAGCAACTCAGCTATATTCACTCAGATGTTTGGGGCCCTGCACCAACCAAATCAAATGGTGGAGCCAGGTATTTTGTTACTTTCATGGATGATTTTTCTAGGAAGGTTTGGGTTTATTTCATGAAGCAGAAATCCGAGGTTTTTGCAAAGTTCAAGGAATGGAAAACAGAAACCGAGAATCAAACTGGAAGAAAGATCAAGTACCTGAGAAGTGACAATGGAGGTGAATATACAAGTAATGAGTTTACTGATTACTGCAAGCAAGAAGGCATCACAAGGCACTTCACAGTAAAGAAGAATCCCCAACAAAATGGAGTTGCTGAGAGGATGAACCGAACTCTCATGGAGAGAGAGAGAGGAGCATGTGATTTCATGCAGGATTGCCTGATAGTTTTTGGGCAGAAGCTGTTAATCATGCAAGTTATTTGATTAACAGATCACCATCTACAGTTCTCGGTTTTAAGAGTGCGGAAGAGGTATGGTCTGAGAAGCCGGTGGACTATTCCAAGCTCAGGGTATTCGGCTGTAGTGCTTATGCACATATTCCAAGCGATGAAAGGTCCAAGCTCAAACCAAAGTCTACACATTGCATATTCTTAGGTTTTGAGAAAGGAGTGAAGGGTTTCAAGCTTTGGGATATCAACAACAGGAAAAAGGTTGTCAGCCGAGATGTTGTCTTTGATGAGACAACCATGCCTCTGAATAAAGTCGAGAGAAGTAGGGAGAAGAAAGACGATGCTGAAATTGAAGCAACAAAGATTCCGCTAATCAGTTCAGACGAAGAAGAAGCTCAGGTGGAGCAAATTGAGCAAGATGCCGAATCTGATGGTTTTGAGGAAGAAGATGAGCATCAGCATCGTTCACCAGTTAGGAATCAGGTGGAGCAAGAAATAGGGCAGATTGAAGGCACTCTAATCCGCCAGACATCCCAAAGGGTTAGAACTCCAACCAACAATCCACCTACATTCCAGAGATGCATAGCACTGGACAAACCTAATAGGAACAAGAAGAAACCTGACAGGTTTGGGTTTGACCAAGACGAAGTTAATTATGCTCTCAACATTAGTCAAGGAGATCCAACTACTTATCGAGAAGCTATAGCAAGTGATGAGTGAGATAGTTGGATAAGTGCTATGACAGAAGAAATGGAGTCTCTTTACAAGAACTCTGTTTGGGAGTTGGTTCCTAAGCCCAAAGACAGAAAGCTAGTTGGATGCAAGCGGGTATTTAGGAAAAATGAAGGACTACATGAACAAGATGCCGTGAGATTCAAAGCAAGGCTTGCGGCTAAAGGGTACTCACAAAAGGAAGGGGTGGATTATGATGAGATCTTTTCACCCGTAGTTAAGCATACTTCTATCAGATTGCTTTTAGCAATGGCAACTCAGCATGACATGGAGATTGAGCAGATGGATGTGAAGACAACATTTCTTCATGGGGATCTAGAGGAGACAATTTTCATGGCTCAACCAGAAGGGTTTGTTGAATATGGGAAAGAAAACCTAGTATGTAAGCTAAAGAAGTCCCTGTATGGCCTGAAACAGTCTCCAAGACAGTGGTACAGGAGGTTCGATTACTTCATGCTGAAAATCAATTTTAGAAGATGTTTATATGACTGTTGTGTGTACTATCATGTGTTCCAAGATGGGATGATCATATTGCTATTGCTATATGTGGATGACATGCTAATCGCTTGTCAAGACAAGTCTAGAATTCAAGACTTGAAGAAGATGTTGAGCAAGGAGTTTGACATGAAGGATCTAGGTGCAGCACAGAAGATCCTTGGCATGGAAATTCAGAGAGATAGGACCGCTGGAAGGATTTGGATATCACAAGCCAAGTATATTCAGAAGGTTCTTGAGAAGTTCAACATGCAAGAAGCAAAGGTAGTTTCGACTCCTTTGGCAGCTCACTTCAAGTTAAGTGGGCAACAGTGTCCTAAGTCCGAGGAAGAGCAGCAAGTAATGGAGAAGGTTCCTTATGCTAATGCCGTGGGCTGCCTTATGTATGCAATGGTATGCACACGTCCAGACATAGCTCAAGCAATCAGTGTCGTTTCCAGATACATGGGAAATCCAGGAAAGCAACATTGGGATGCAGTCAAGTGGATTTTGCGTTATTTGAAGGGTTCTTGGCGACAAAGGATTATGTTTGAGAAGCAAAAAGAAAATGTAAGGGTGTTGGGATATGTGGATGCTGATTATGCAGGGGACTTGGACAAGAGAAGGTCAACTTCTAGTTATGCGTTTACATGCGCAGGAGGACCAATCAGTTGGAGAGCACTATTGCAACCAATTACAGCTTTGTCGACCACAGAGGCAGAGTATATTGCATTGGCCGAAGCTGGAAAGGAAGCAATTTGGCTTAATGGCTTGGTAAGTCAAATGGGAATCACCCAAGATTGTGTGAAGCTGAAGTGTGATAGTCAAAGTGCCATTCACTTGGCAAAGAATCAAGTTTTTTCTGGAAGATCAAAGCACATTGAAGCAAGATATCACAGAATCAGAAATTGGGTGGAGTCTAAGGAGATTTGGATTGAAAAGATTCATACAGATGACAATGCTGCAGATTTCCTTACAAAGATAGTGCCAGCCAAGAAGTTCAAGCATTGCTTGAACTTGATCAATCTCGTTGATTGATTAAAGTGGAGCACCTCCTCACTTGAGGTGCAATGAGGCAAGAAGAAGATTGCCAAGGTGAAGACTTTTGAAGATTTCCAGAGCTGCTTCAAGGAGGTTCAAAGATACTCTGGGGTGCAACGATCAAGACTTGGTTTGACTCACCAAGGTGGAGATTGTTAGGATTTTGGCTCGTCAAATATGTCCTAGTTGGTTTAGGATTGTTTTAGGAAAATTAGAGGTATACCAATTCTTGTCCTAGAGGGATTAGGAAAGAATTTCAGTTTTCCTTATTCAATTCAGGTTTGGATTTCTAGAAGTCTATTAGGATTTGGATAAGTGTAATTTCCTAATCCACCTAGGAATAAGAATCCAATCAGCCTTGGGACATGTAAGCCAACTCTATATCTATAAATAGGGTGTGGCAAGGCTTATTTTAAGGAGAGGAAAAACAGCCAGAGACAGCCAAGAGTTTTGAGATTAGTTCTAGGGTTACAAAAGTTCTGTAATCTCTATTAGTTCTGTAATCTCTATTACAAAAGGATCGGTGATTTCTCTACCTAGAGAAATCACAACTGGAAGTTCTGCCGAACCAGTATAATTCTTGTGTGTTTCTAAGTGTTTTAATATTTGCTAGTTTAGTCTATTGCCGTTGGTTACATCAAAGAACAAGATCTAGAAGGCGGGTTATTTAATACACTCATGTCCATGGATACTCAAGTTATGAATTCTAGGTATATTGATGAAAATATTAGCAATCAAGACCGGGTTTAGTGGCTCAAGACACATGATTCTCTCTAAAATAAGTAAGGTGCGTGTTTAGTGCTACAATACTCTTGCTTCCCATACAATAAATCTAGGTGTGCTTAGTACTTTGATTTAACCACATGAGGAAACCATTAAGATTGAAGAGAATATGAACATCACAAGAACCCTAATAGTATGGTGTTTACTTTAGGCATTCAAGAAACCAATTCACGTAAAGCTCACTTAGAAAGGATTAAATAGGTTGTTGCTAATTAGAAGTTGTGTTCTTGGGTATTATACACAACTTCTCAATTATAGCTAGATGCATACAACCTAAGGTGATCAATCAAAGGAAGCAAACACATAATATATGATTAGTTTAGTGAAAGAGAATTCATGAAAAACATCTAGAAATCCATAAACTTAAAGCATCAAAACAATAGAGTAATCATGTTTAGGGCTTCAACCTAAGCCGTAGTTATGAGGTTTAGTTCCTCATATTCATTAAAAAAATAACTTAAAATAAACTTAGATAGAGTTTATAGATTTTGGATGAAGGGGGAAAGTTAAAGGAATTCAATGGTGGAAAAGCTTCTTCTTCTTCTTAAGAGCTTCTCCCTCTAATTGTGCAGAGATTTTCCTTGATATTGCTTGATAGCTAACCCTCTATGTGAATGGAATTTAATGGAGAGAAGCTAGATATTTTCCTCAGCATTACGTGAAAGTATTCCTCATGCATTATATGCAAGTAATCCCTTGCATCACGTGCAAGTAATTCCCTTGTGCAGTATCTAAGTCTCATCTCTTGTGTTAGGCTCAATTCTATATCGGTTGGGAGAGTTGTGATCTTCCAATGGAGCTCAATTTCTAATATGCTGCAGTCGACACCCATTGGAACAAGTTCCATGAAGAGCTCCACCTCATCCAAGCACTGGGACATGATGAAACGAGGTCAAGAAGTTGACCTACGAAAATGAGCAAAACGTAGTTTAAATTCAATATTGTATTTTTAGCTCAAATTCATTCCAACTAGAGTAAAACCTATAAAAACACAAAAAAGAAGTAAAATGCTATAAAATATCAAGAAGTAACTCAAAACGTTAGATGAATATTGTTATACCCACAAATATTCTAGTGGGTAACGTATGAAAATGCAAAACTCTAGTTTACTTTGGGACAAAGACAAGGATAAGGGACAAGGCATTCTTTGTGCATTCCTGGTATTTTATTCTTCTTCCAAGATTTCCCAAAAGAGAGAAAAAAGATCATTTTTTGCAAGCATCACAAGTTCTATTTATAGGAAGATTGAATAAGATAATTTACGAGCTGGTCACCTCGGCTCGGAGTCGAGCCGTCCATGTCACACCAATTTGTTAGGTGGCAAACGGTCAGGGTTCACCCATGTCCTCTTCTCATGATGACTTTATGATTTTACTAAGGGGTGGGTGTGGGCAGAGTAGCCTGTCACACACGGTAGTAGTCCCATCTGGTCAAGTGGTGATTTAGGTGGTTTACACATGGCTTTTGAGAGGACATGGGCATACTTTACGAGGTGCGGAGAACTTGTGGTCAGAGGAGGTCTTGTCGTCGACGTGGTTGATTTGCATCCCTTCAAATTTTCCAAAGTTAGCTCCGAGACCGAGATAGAGGGCGGTTTGGGTATCTCCCAATGTGGTACACAAGGTCCACGTGTTATGCTTTTATTGGGTAGACGAGCTCGATGTGTGCCGAGCGTCAATAAGTTCCCCAACTCTCTAGGCAAGTCTCCTTGGGTGGGGAGTTTCCATTGTCTCTATCTGCCCAATAAGAATGTGTTCCAAACAGTCCGATCAGTTGGCCTTGACGAGCGGTTCGATTGGTTTGCCTTGACAACCTTGATGAGTTATTTTTGGATCGAGTGGTCGGGTTAGTCCTCCAACTCCCCAGAGAAAGAGTACATTTCCTCAGGCAGGTGAAATGATTTGACAGGTGTCGTTTGCTCGGGTATTGTGCAATTGATTGGGGGTGTGATGATTAGGTGTCTAGGGAGACGGAGCAGGCGGGATTGCTAGTTTCGCGTTGATTGATGGAATCGAAGAGAGTGCCACGCGTCGTGATAAAAAGGGGGATCGCAGACAGGATGGATGACAATGATTATCAGTCAGGGTCTTATATATAGGTCAATTTAGAGAGAATTTCCATTTCCGCCACTGCGAGTTTTCAAAAGTTTTTGGCTTTTTGTTTCCGAGTGCGAGAAGGAAGGGTATCCTAGTTTGTGGCAGCTAGGATGTCGTGGTAGCTAGATGAGAGTCTTTCGCTCGTTTCTCTTTTTGTTTTTATGGTGAGAGGGAGAAGAGATAGTGAGAATGGCTACGAGAGAGGAGGGGGACAGTGGGTCCAGTAGGGGTAGTGTGAAATTTAGGATTTTAGACAAGGCCTGGCATCGGTTGGGTGATAGGCTGCTAGTGGGATTGATGGTCGGTGCTGGGGCGGGTCCTCTGTGGTGGAAGTTCTGAGCTCGTTAAACGATTCTGAGGTAGAACAAGTGCCGGAGGAGAGGGAGGCCTAGGTAGAGCAAGTGCAGGAGGTGTCTTTAGATGACGAAGAGAATCTCGAGGGTCATCCTGATGTCGAGGCAGAGGTATCTGGAGATGGGGATGCCAAGGACCCTAATCGGCCTAGGGTGGACTTGGATGGAGTGCCATTGGAGGTAATCACTGTGATGGGTTCAGGAGAGCTGTCATGCTCTTATAAGCATGAGGTGCCTATACATCCGTACTTTTATGAGGCCGGCTGAGTGGTCCTTGGTAACCAGTAGTATCGTGCGCAGAACAAGGTAGCGTGTAGTTCTTTGCTGGTACGTGGCGATAGTCATATCGACCTGAGCCCATTTTTCTTCTATTAGGTCAAGGTCAAGAGTGCATTGCTCGGCGCTCTACTAGGGGTCGTAGTGCTCGACGAGATGGGTCGGTAGACTGACCTCTACCGGTGTTATGACTTCAGATTCGAAGGCCAGGGAGAAAGGGGTTTCGCCCGTCGAGGTATGCTGTGTGATAAGATAGGCCCATAAGACTTCGAGCAAAAGTTTAGCCCAGTCCCCTTTCTTGACTCCTAGCTTTTTTTTTTAGTGTGCACTTAATAATCTTGTTGATGGCCTGGACTTGGCCATTGGCTTGGGGATGTGCTGATGATGAGAAACATAGAGAGTTGTTAAAATTTGAACTTAATTCTCGGAACCGCGCGTTATCGAATTGTCGGCTGTTATCGGTGACAAGAACATGGGGTAGTCGAAATCGGCAGACGATATTCTTCCATACAAAACTATGAACATGTGCCTCAGTAATGGTGGCGAGGGGCTCGGCCTCTACCCATTTGGTAAAATAGTCCTCCGCAACTATGGCAAATTTCGTCTAGCCTTTCCCTTTGGGCATGGGTCTGATTAGGTCTAGCCCCCATTTGGCGAAGGGCCACGGGCTAGCCATAGCAGTGAGTGGCTCTGGTGCTTGGTGTATGAGGTTAGAAAAAAGCTGACACTATTGGCACTTCTGGGCTAGAAGTTGGATATTGGTCTTCAAGGAGGGCCATAAATAGCCTCGGTGATTGGCTTTGATGGCCATGGTTCTAGATGCCAAATGACCCCCATAAATGCCCTCGTGGATCTCGTGGAGAATTTCGTATCCCTCCTCGAGTGATACACATCGTAGATAAGGCAAGGAAAATCTTCACTTATACAAGTGCTTGATTCTGCGACTAGCGGGATGCCTCAATGTCGGAAGGAGAAATCCCGTCTGCCATGTAGTTGTAGATAGGGGCAATCTAGTTGGGAGCAATGTCAACGGACATGGCCTCACTCCGATCGCTAGTGACAGTAGGTTTGGCGAGGTATTCAATTGGGATCAACTGTTTGATTCATCCGTCAAGGGACGAGGCCAGTTTGGCTAAGGCATTGCTAGCTGTTTGGCTCCGGGGAATCTGCGAGGTGGTAAAGTTTGTAAAAAGGGACACCAGACGTTGTGCTTCCTCCAAGTAGATCCCTATGATTTTGCCTTTGACCTAATAGGTGTTGTTGATCTGGTTCACGATGAGCATCAAGTTGCTGTGCGCGGTCAATTTTTTGGCTCCAAGATTAGGGGCGAGGTGTAGCCCAACGAGTAGGGCCTCGTACTCGGCCACATTGTTAATGGTCTTAAATTGAAAGTGGAGGTGTACTCCACTTCGGTATCATTCGGAGAAGTGAGCATGATCCCGGCACCACTCCTGGAGAAGTGCGAGTTTCTCGATTAGAGGGTACGTGTCTCGGCCTCTGTGAATGCTCTACTCACATAATACATGGCCATTGTATGGCGTGGGTTTCTCTAATGAGAACTGAGGTGATGGTGGAGACAAAGACGGATAGATAAACGCACATGGTCTCACCAGGCTCTGGTTTAGAAAGGACATAAGTAGCTCCCATGTGCGTTTTTAGGCTTCGAAAGGCATCGTCACATTCTTCTTTTTAGTTGATTTGCCTTTGCACACCTCATATGGCCTTGAAGAATGGCAGGCATTGGTCGATGAACTGTGAGATAAAGCGGTTCAGGGCAGCCACATGGCCGGTGAGACTTTGTATTTCTTTTTGTTCTTGGGGGGAAACATTTCTACCAGCGCTAGGACTTTTTCGAGGTTGGCCTCGATCGCTCGCAAGCTAACCATGAACCCCAGGAACTTCCCTGACTCGACGCCGAAAACACATTTGGCAGGGTCAACCGCATTTTGTATTGTTGAAGGACTGCAAACATCTCGGCGAGGCGATTGACATGTTGGTTGATGGTGAGACTCTTGAAAAGCATCTCATCCACATATACCTCAATGGACTAATCGAGGTATTTAGCGAACATCTGATTAACTAGTCGTTGGTACGTGGCGCTCGCATTTTTAAGCCCAAAGGGCATAACTTTGTAATCATAGAGCTCCCGGTCAGTGATGAATGAGGTGTTTTCTTCGTCGGTGAGGTCCATACGGATCTGGTTGTACCTAGATAGAAGTCTAGGAAGCTAAGGAAGGCAAAGCCTGTGGTGGCGTCGACCAGTGGGTCAATTTTGGGAATGGAAAACTGTGTTTAAGACAGGCTTTGTTAAGATCCGTGAAGTCCGTGCACATCCTCCATTTCTCAGGTGTCTTCTTGACCATGACTACGTTTGACACCCATTTTGAGTAATCCATCTTGTGGATGAAGCAGACCTCCTTGAACTTTTGGACTTCTTCCTTCATGGCAGAGTATCGAGTGTTATCGTAAGGTCGACGCTTCTATCAAATAGACCGAGCCTCAGGGCTAATTCCTAAGTGATAGGTTATAACCCGGGGGTCAATGTTGGGCACGTTGACATGAGACCAAGCGAAGCAGTCCGTGTTGTTACGTAGAAAGATGATGAGGCTTATTCTTTCGGCTAGCTCCAGGTTCATCCCTATCTAGATCTGTTGGTCTAGATGCCTATCAGAAATGACTATCGACTTTAGGTCTTCCAAGGGTTGGGGTCGGGGATATTCATCGGTCAGTCCTTTGGAAGGTCGGAATGCCCAACGTCAACGAGCGATAGTGCAATGTTATATGAAGAGTCTTCAAGAGGGGTTGGCCAATAATGGCGAAGTACGGGCTCGGGTGATTGAGCACCACAAAGTGTGTCAGTGCTCTGACATGTGCTAGAAACAACCCTATATAGATATTGAGGTCAATACTGCCAAGGGTGCGCACTCTCGTATTGTTGAAAGCACGTAACTCATGGTGGTAGGGGGTGAGTGCTCTAGCTTCTAGGCCGAGGTGAGAGATCGCTGGGGAGAAAAAATATCAACTGAGCTATCTTTCTCAAGGAGGGCATGGGGTGTGTTATGCTGGGCTATGTCGGTAATGATTGTGAAAGGCCGAATGCAGATGTGCGGCTGGTAATCACTTGAAGAAGGGCAAACCAGGCTATTGGGTGACTGGCACTGGTAACAAGGGTATCGCTTAGAGTGGTTTTCAGCCTCATGGCCGTGACGTAGCAATTCCACCTGGAGACATGGTCTCCCTAGATAGTCCTATCCCGTGGGGCGTTTTGAACTTTAGCATATGGGTGCAGTAACTAAGGGTGATATCGAGCTCTGTGAGTGCTGGTCTTTACAAAATTACATTATAAGCTATCAGACAATTCACAACGACAAAGTTGGCGATTATGGTCGTTTGGCGAGGACATTGTCTTATGGTCAGGGCGAGGTGGATATTGCCAAAGGGCTGCACTCGAGTACCTCCGAAAGCCTAAAGCGGGGGTGTCCTTTTGTAAAAGAGTGCTCAATTTATCTCGAGCTGGTTGAATACGGGTGCGAAGATGATATTGGAGGAACTTCCTCCGTCGATGAAGGCCTAGTTTATGTCACAATTTGGGATATCAACTGACATAACTAGAGGGTCGTTGTGAGGTATGCCCTTCATCTGGGGTAAAAACAATGGGCTTCTCTTCTCTCATCCAAGCTCATTTGCAGGGTTGGGCGGTATCACCGATGGAAAGTGCGTGGTTGGATGCATGGCCAAGCGATCGAGCGTATCGTTTCTTGGGCTTATTGTTGTCATTGCGTAACGAAGGGCCCCCTCCGATTGTGGCTATCAGTCTACAGGAGATTGAGGCCTGGGTTGATCCCCTTGAAGCGTCAGTGGCGGTGTCAGGGTAGGCCACATACTCTCGGAGTTTTCCCCTCTTGACTAGCTCATCGATCTCCTTTTTCAGTTGAAAGCAGTCTTCTAATGAGTACCCATACGTACAGTGGTACTTGCAGTATCGACCCTCATCTCGTTTCCCTAGTTATTTATTCTAGCCATGACGCAGAGCAGGTAATTCTTTCCTGTGATTTCCAAGATGGCCCTTTTACTGGTATTTCGGGGCATGTAACTTGTGTAGCGCTCCAGGGCATTGTTTCGTCGGTTGGTTTTTTTGCTGTCGGTGCTCATTCTTTTGGGAATTCCCTCAGCGTGAATCTGGAATATGCCGAGAATGTTATGCGCTTGCGATTTGCTTGCTTGAGATGCCGGTTTGGGTCGTGTTTAGTTGTTCGGGTCGATTGTAGTGTGTGGCCTCTCGGAGGAGCTCTTTATACGGTTCTGGTGAGGTGGAAGAAAAATTCCCCACCCTAGAAGCCTCTCATGAGAGCATTATAAGCCGTTGCCTCGTCACAACCCTCGCAGCGAGAATATTCTTTGTTAAAATGGGTGACATAATCTCGTTGGGATTCATCCTTTCTCTGTCGTATATTCGAGAGATAAGTAGCAGTATATAACCGACTTGATATGATCATGTACCTGTCCAGGAATGCCCAACGCAGCTGGGCAAACGAGCCGATGGATTCGAGATTCAGCTGTTTGAACCAGTTCAGGGCTGCTCCTTTCAAGGTAGTTCGGAAGAGTCTGTATTTGGTCGCCTCATTCCCCTCCTGGCCATCAATGGCATAGCAAAAACTATCAAGGTGGTCATACGTGAGGCTGACAATAGTCGCTTTGAGGAGTGCCTTGATATAAGGGAGAGGGATTTTGTCTCCGAAAAATGAGGGGGCAAGTGGTTTGTGGGTCCTTTCAACCTTGCCGAGCCTATCCCATACGCTTCCCATCTCTCCCTTGATCATGGCTTCCATTGCCGCTCTCAAGTCAAGCTCGTAGGCAAGAACGATGGGTTAGTCAGGCATTTGGCCGTCGGTTTCAGCGGCGTGATCTTTTCTTTTGCCTGAGCTACGACCGATGGGGATGATTTCCTTAGAATCGGTACTCTCGGGGTCGGAGCTTGGGATGACGTTACCATGTTGAGGCATGGAAGCGGACGCCGACTCCTCGACAAACAAGCATCTTTCCACCTGCATGATATGGCTTGAATCCTTGATGGCCTTCTTCTGGGCTCTTCGTAGGTTCGCCTGGAGGCTGATCTACTGCTTTTGTAGGAGCTCATTGTGGTCCTGAAGAGTTTTGTTTAGATCCTCCATGTCACACTAATTTGTCAGGTGGCGGACGGTCGGGGTTCACCCACGTCCTCTTCTCATGATGACTTCACGCTTTTACTAGGGAGCGAGTGTGGGCAAAGTAGCCTGTCACGCGCGACAGTAGTCCCATCTGGTCAGGTGGTAATTTAGGTGGTTTACACGTGACTTTTAAGAGGACATGGGCACACTTTATGAGGTGTGGCGAACTTGTGGTCAGAAGAGGTCTTGTTGTCGACATGGTTGATTTGCATCCCTTCGAATTTCCCCAAGGTAGCTCCGAGACCAAAATAAAAGGCAGTGTGGTTATCTCCCGACGTGGTACGCAAGGTCCACGTGTCATGATTTTATTGGGCGGACGAGCTTGGTGTGTGCCGAGCATCATCAAATATCATGATAAATCATGTACAAAAATGAACCCAATATATAGTTCCTTAATATAACATGTAGCTTTTTCTGTATGTAGGAGTCTACTTACGCTACAGAAATCCTAGTGGCATAATAATACACACAGTTTGATATGAACTTAAGTAGGATTGTGAAATGTGGGAAGCAAGCAGACTTGCGCCTATATAAGTACCAAAGACAAAACCGATTAGAGGTTCAAATTAAATCTATGAATAATTAATCTCTCTTTTTCTATTGTTTTTTATGTTGTTTGGCTTTTCCTCTTTTGTTGGTTTTGCTTACTCACCGTTAATATACGGCAGTGGCTAAATAAAAAAAAGAGAAGAAGCTAGAACAAGAAGAAACAATACTTATGGCATGTAGACAAGAAGAAATAATACTTACTCAACATTAATATACTTATGACATGCAGAAGAAGAAAGAAAATAGAAATAAGATTCAGATTAAGAGGAAAGGTTTGGAAAGAAAAGCTCGAGTGTATAGGAGCTCTGCATGGCCATGCATCTCCACACCCTTCCGCTGCGCAACAGTTGGATATCATCTCTTATTTTCACATTTTGTAATACATAAATTAACAAAACCACGTAATTAAGAACAGGTGAGTAATTAATTTGGAAAACTCTAGCCTGTTATTCCACAACCTCCCTTCCTTTCTCTTATTTACTTTTACCAAAGCTTATACCATGGCTTCTTGCTCGTGCCTTCCTTTTCACTCGAGTCGCCTGCTTTGTCCTTCCTCCTCGAGCTGCCGCCTGCTTCGCCTTTGCTAGACTTGTAGTAATGGTACCTGGAGGGAATGATTTTCCCCACGAGAATATTCGTCAAAGATTCCTTCGTCTTCTCCGCTTCTCTTTCTCTCTGCAAAACAGATCGGAGTAAAAGGACCACACCCGGGGGGTGTTGGCCAAAGGCCCTCCGATGCCTAAGTTAGGTAAGGTATTTCAAGGAAAACCGGGTGGCCGGAGCCGTGTGTGGTGGCCGGAGCCTTGTGTAAGGGAGAGAAAGAAAGTGGTGGCTAGGGTTTGTGAGAAATGATTTCTGCAGAGTTTCAGTAGGAATTTAGACGTACCTTCACCATTGTGTGTGGCTATGCTTTTATAATGGTCTTGGAGGCTAGGGTTTCAGAGGAATAATTCCGTAGATGGAATGGAATTATTCCTCCCCTTTATGGAATTGATTTGATTAATTAGGGATTTGATTTATTAGGGTAAATCAAATCCCTAATTGTGGTAGGTATCAAATCAAATCCCATTTCAATTAGGTAACTCCTCATTTAATTGAGAATCGGGGTAGGAATTAGGAATCAATTCTCGACCCAATTAGGTAGTCTTCAATTTAATTGGGTAACCCCCAATTAAATTGAGTAACTCCCAATTAGGTTTATTAATTCCCAATTAGGTCAAATAATCCCCAAATGGAATGAATTATTTGACCTAGGGTTTTGGCTTAATTTGGTTACCACAGTACCAATTTTGCTAATCCCAACATGCTCGCCTTTGTTTGACTCAATTATATTGTCCTCAACTTTGCAATCAAGTGTATTTGGAGCGTTCGTCTTCCTTGATCATCATCAACAGCACCTTCATAATATTTTCTGTTCACATTGAAAATCCCAACTTCTATGCCTTCTTTACTACTTTCTACCTCAAATTTTTGTTTTGTTTTGCAGGAGCTCTGCAGTTTCTGACATTGTTCTGGAGGCACCAGTAGAGAGTTGTTGCCATCTCCAATTTTGCAGTTGTTCTTCATTTGGAGACCAATCTTATATTATAGGTAAAGATGAAAATGGAAAACATCTTCAAATAAGTGGACTTTGAGCAAAAATTCCAAGAATCCTAGGCCTTGAATGGCCAGGCCCCCTCATAGATTTAGATATCTCCTATATTATATTATTACAACATATAAAATTTGTAAAAAACAACTTATAATTGAAGTTAAAATTCCCTCTAAAACAAATTAGACATAAATTAAAAATATTTAACTCTAAACATGTAACTATTGAATACATAGGTGTTTTATATATTCGTATTTTTTACTCAAGTCCCCCAATTTTACAATTATAGCTCCGCCCAATATTTGAATAAATTGAAGTTACTATTATACTTGTGGATCTTTGAAATTAGTCTTCATCTCACATCATGTTGATCTCTCCTCGAATACTCCTCATGATCAACTTGGACTTGTCTAGTCAAAACTCAAAAGGTACTTTGTGTGGACAAAATATCGTTTCTCATTTCATCATTGTCCATTTTCCTTTGATTGAGCTAACTTTATTGTGATTCAGAGTTTGTTTTTCATTATTGCAAAAGTAAGGTTACAGATTCGCACAAGTGAAAAGTATCTCAAGGTTTTGCTGTAGCGCTTTATTGGAAGTATTGGTACCTGATAGCTGTGATTAGCTTGGTGGCTGCTAACTGTGATTGATTTACACGTTCTTAATTTAGGGGATTTGATCTTGTTACCTGTAATTAGAGTTTTCCTATAATTAGGGGTTAAAGTTAAGGTTGTGGTGCATTGACCAGCAGCTCTTAGACTGGCCAATGGTTCTTAACCTGGCTAGTGGATATTAACCTTCCCCAGCTTATACATATATACCTGTGTAATCTTGTAAATAAAACATAATGAGAAAACATATTCTCCCTATTATTTTCCACATGGTATCAGAGCAGGAACCTTAACCGGCCTGTCTCCATTTTTTCCTTCGTTTCTTTTGTACATTCTATTCAATAATGGCATAAGATAATCCTTTTGGCTCTGAAGCTGAAAGCTGAACAACACCTCGTTCTAGTTTTCTAGAAGCTGAAGTCAACCCAAACCAACGACTGTGCTCTATGTTGTTAAATGAGTTTAACTATCTTCCATGGTCTAGAGTAGTATCTCTTGCCCTTGGAGGAAGATCTAAACTCAGATTTGTTAATGGAAGCATTGAGGCACCTTGTTAAGATTTCAAAGGGACGGACCCTTGGCCCACCACTAGCAACATCGATATTGTCCCCAACTTAATCACTTGTTTAGCAGGTGTGGGGTTTTTATACAAAAGGCTTTGATGTTATTAGGAGTGGAACCATTTATTAAATGGGACTTTCTATTTTGTTAAGTTTCCGATGTGGGACTCGTGTATTCTTCAACACTCCTCTTCACATGGGACCACTTTTTCAGGTTTAGGGTCCTTCTGTCAACATCGATATTGTCCCCAACTTAATCACCTGTTTAGCAGGTGTGGGGTTTTTATGCAAAAGGCCTCGATGTTATTAGGAGTGGAACCATTTATTATATGGGACTTTCTATTTTGTTAAGTTTCTGATGTGGGACTCGTGTATTCTTCAACACACTTGATGATTCGTCTCCGAAGTATGAAGCATGGCTGTGCAAAGACCAATTGGTCATGTCGTGGCTCCTCAACTCCATGGATCCTAAGCTGTCTGAAATCTTCAGTTTTTCAGAATCCTCTCTTTCTCTTTGGAAGATAGTAAAAGATATGTATGGCAATCAAAAAATGAAGCTCGAGTGTTCCAACTTAAGAGGAATCTTGCAAGTCTCCAACAAGGTGATAAATCATTGTTCATCATCTTGGTTGCATGAAATATACTATTGATGCTGCCGTACTGTTACAAAGGTCTGACGAAGACAAAATTTTCATTTACTTGCAAGTTTGGGGTTTGAATATGAAGATCTTAGAGGCCATATTCTAATGAACCCTGAACTTCCGTCATTTGCAAGTGTTTGCACTACTATCCAACAAGAAGAAGTACGTAGGAAAGTCATGAATGTTGACATAAAATCTAGTGTGCTTGAGGCTAGAGCTTTTGTGACAAACCACAAGTCATCTGGAGATAGAGTGTACAAGGGAAAAAGGCCAGATCTGAAGTGTTTATACCGCAATAATATTGGACATCTAATAGATCGATATTGGATATTACACCTTGAGTTGAAGCCAAAGTTTGAGAACAAGCCTTCAAGAGGCTACAAGGGCTCACAAACCAGATCACATATAAACAAAAACCATGTTGCTGCTGTTGCTACATCAATTGATGGCTGATGAACTTCACAACCAATCTGGATGACTTGATAAATGAGTTCTCAGCCTATCCTCAAACGAAAAAAGGAAGCACAGGCGAAGTATTGACTGGTGGAAATCAAACTGCTCTCCTTGGGTAGTTTGCAGGATTCTTAGCTGGGTCTAATCGTGTACCTCAAGGAGATGTTCCAGGTATTATGTGTGCTCTTTCAACTGCTCTAAATGTTAGTCATTCTCATGATTTTTGGATTATAGACTCAGGTGCCACTGATCATATGAAAAATCAATATTCAAAGCTATACAATTTTGAAAGCTACACTAAACCATCACTAGTTTCTATAACAAATGGTAGAGGTGTACCCATTCTAGGTAGAGGGAAAGTTAAACTAATTTTAGATAGTGTTGTGTCCACAACATTATATGTTCCATCCTTTCCTTTTCAATAGTTTTCTTTACAAATTCTCTCAATTGTCTTGCAATTTTCTCCCCTCACAATGTTTTTTTTTCAAGATCTAGCCACCAAGAAGATGATTGGTGAAGGTCACTACCTAAATGAGCTGTACTATTTTTCAAAGGACCTTAATGTTCCAAAGGGGTTCTAAGTCAGTTCATATCTAGAACATTAGTTGTGGCACCAACGTCTAGCACATCCCTTAGAATTTGTTTTGTCTACTTTGTTCCCTAGTTTATGCAAATCGTCACTTGTATGTGAAATTTGTCATTTGTAAAAATTTACTAGACTTCCATTTATTTCTTCCATATCTAGAGCTAGCAAGCTTTTTGAGATGGTGCACTCCGATGTTTGGGGACCTGCACCTCTAGAGTCTTTTGATGGTTATAGGTACTACGTTACTTTTGTTGATGATTTTTCAAGAGTCACTTGGTTGTACCTCCTAAAATTCAACAGTGAAGTCATGGATGCTTTCAAGAATTTTCATAATCTTGTCATGAACCATTTTTTGTCTCAAATTCACATACTAAGGTCTGATAATGGCACTGAATATACATCCAAAAATATGACTAACTATTTGCGCACACATGGCATTATACATCAAACTAGTTGTGTAGGTACTCCTCAGCAAAATGGAATTACTAAAAGGAAAAATAGGGATCTACTTGAGAAAACCAGGGCTCTAATGTTACAAATGAATGTGCCTAAGAGGTTTTGGTCTCAAGGAGTTCTTGCAGCCACCTGCCTCATCAACAGACTGCCTAGTCGTGTTCTAGATTCAAAATCACCATATGAGGTCATGCAAAACAAAAAAAATTAACCTTTCCCATCTGAGAATTTTTGGATGTACTTGTTATGCTCATATTCAATCCCATCACCGAGACAAGCTAGATCCCAAGGCAGTTAAGTGTGTTTTCATGGGTTACTCCTCCACTCGAAAAGGTTACAAATGTTACAATCCATGTTCCAGGAAGCTATTTGTCTCAAGAGATGTAAGGTTTGATGAGATGGGATTGCCGAAACAAGTGATCGTGTTCATTCAGTACCTCACGACAGTGACTCTCATGCAACCAATAATGACAACGTGATTATTGGAGATGAAACTAAAGCCTCCGAAGTACAAGTTGTTCCTCATGACAATGACACGTCATCTATAGAAGAGAGTGGAGCTGAACCTACTGTGATCCCAGCTCAACCTCATAGGAATCCAACTCGAGATAGACATCCACCGTCAAGGCTACAAGACTATGTAACTGTCACATCCCGAATTGGCTCTGCCGTAGCATGATATTGTCCGCTTTGAGCCCCCCCTATCTGCCCTCACGGTTTTATTTCTGGGAACTTATGAGCAACTTCCCAGTGGGTCACACATCCTGAGATTGCTTTAGCCCCAACTCGCTTAACTTCGGAGTTCCAGTGAGCTCCCAAAAGGTCTTGTGCTAGATGGAGGCGGGAATGTACATATAAGGCACATCACTCCCTCTCTGTTGGTTGACGTATGATGTTACAACCCACCCCCCTTAGGGGCCCGACGTCTTCGTTGGTACACTCGCACCACACAGTAGAGTAGCTCTGATACCAAATTGTCACATCCCGAATCGGCTCCGCCGTAGCACGATATTGTTCGCTTTGGAGCCCCCTCTCTATCCTCATGGTTTTGTTTTTGGGAACTCACGAGCAACTTCCCAGTGGGTCACCCATCCTAGGATTGCTCTAACCTCAACGCGCTTAACTTCGAAGCTCCCTTGACTCTGAAGCCAATGAGCTCTCAAAAGGCCTCGTGCTAGATGAAAGCGGGCATGTACATATAAGGCACATCACTCTATCTCCGTTGGTCGACATGAGATGTTACAGTAATGTACAATGTAAGGTACCCAATTCACAAGTTTGTAAATTACTCCAAAGTCTGTCACTCCCATGCAGCTTTTCTCAGTAAATTATCAAATGAAAGTGAACCAAGGAATTTTCAAGAAGGCAATCTTCAAGATGTTTGGCGGCTAGCCATGGAAGAAGAACTCAAGGCTTTGGATGAAAATAAAACCTAGAGTGTATTCCAACTTCCAAAGGGAAAGAAGGTGGTAGGCAGTAGGTGGATCTACAAAACCAAGTTTAATTCTGACGGTTCAATTGAAAGACACAAGGCAAGGTTGGTGGCTCGTGGGGGTTTTACTCAAACGTTTGGAGTTGATTATAAGGAGACATTTGCTCCCGTGGCTAAGATGACTACAGTGTGGGTTTTGTTATCTGTTGCAATTAATCATGAGTGGCCGTTGTACCAAATGGATGTAAAAGAAATTCTTTTTTTGCATGGAGACCTTGAAGAGGAAGTTTACATGCAATTACCTCTTGGTCATCGACAAGCACAGTCAGGATGCCACTGGTACTTCTCCATAGACACGGTTCGCCAAACCTGAGGATCATTCAGCATTTCTTCAAATAACTTGCATGTCCCCGCCATGCTGTATAGATCTTTAGAGGAGTGCTTTGCAACCAAAAGCAGCAGCTTAAACCATGCCAAGTCTGGGATGTCCATCTGGGTTGTTGGAGAAGAGGGAGTGCAAAAGGTATGTGGAGGAATAATGAACGGTGTGTCTGAACAAATAAGGAAGAAATGTATATATTGGAACGAACTGTCGTCACCTAAACTATGAACGAAGACAACATTGGGTTTAGATAATGTATTATTGGCTTCGTTTCCCAACTGGTGTGACTGATAGGATAGTTCACACACCTTGATGATCCAGGTTTTGCCAGCAAAATGGTCTTCTCGCGGCTCCTTGCTTAGGTACACCTCGTGGGTGTTCGCATTTATGATACTAATAATCAACGTCAGCAGTCAAAAAATTAAATATACTTTTTATGATAATGATTATGCAAATATCACATCACTACTTATGGAGGTAAAATTCATTGCATTTTAACATGATTATGTGAATAATTTAACAGCCAAGTATGAAACTAAATATCATATCAACGGACCATTAACAGTACATAAAGTGAAAACAGTGTTTATGACATCACCAATTATGGAGGTAATATGAATTTAACATGAGCAAGTAAACAATTTCATCTTCTGAAATATGATACTAAATATGAACTCATATCACCAATAAAGAAACAAAAAAATGTGATTGTGGTACTTATAATGCAAATATCACATCACAAGTTGTGAAGGTAACTTACATTTGAACATGACCAAGTCAACAGTTTCATCTTCGCAAATATATGATACTAAATACGAACGGTAAAGAAAATTAAAATATCGTATATGATACAAATAATACAAATATGACACCACCAATTCTTAAGGTAATTAAAGTTGCAGCTCCCCACTCGAAGTCAACATTGGCATTTTGGCGGGTAAAATGAAAATGGGGAATACCAATGTAGGAGTATTTTACCTCCCATTGCACCTCCACTTGCAACAAACAAGCCTAAACTCAGCATGGGTTCCCCTACAAAAATCCCCCCCATACTTATAACAACTCCAGCAAAAAATGCAGAACCTTTGTCACAGAGGAATAATAAAGCAGAAGATGTTGCTGATGGAGCTGCGAAATCCATAAACTTTTCATCTGAGGACCATGATGATGTAGCTCGGATCGGCAAGATGCGGTATGATGCGTTGATCATGGAAATCAAACGCCTGAAGATACGTCTAAGATGGTATCAAGAAACATTGGAGAAGGAGAAAAAGAAAGTGAAATTCCACATTCGATCAGTCCAAATAATGAAAGTGAGGGTTAGGCTTGCGAAAGGAAAAGGTGTTTGAAGGTTCAGTACTTTGAATGAGTCTGTGCAGATGAGGGAAGCAGAAGCACGCAAAGGGTTTGAGCTGTTCTGCGAGTTTGCAAAATGTGTTGTCCCAAGCTACAACTGGGATGGGATCGCCATGGAGTAAACCGTCGCTGGAGAAAGTTCATTTTGGGGGTTTTCAGTATTTTGTTCTGAACAAATGTGTGGTTAATTTTGAGTACATTTTTGGTGTTTTGTGTGGTCTCCTGAAGGTGTAAACACTATGGTTTGAAGTGTTCATATTTCTTAGGTAATGTATCCAACTGTAAGATGTGAAGGACAACTGTAAACAAATGGGGAAACTGTTTTGGGTTTTTTAAGCGTACTTTTGTCTACATAAATTGTTGTGCTTTTATGAAGTTTGTTTATATTATTTTATGATCACATATTTCTTTGTGTTATTTTATAACGCCTAAAAGGCATGGAATAGAAACAACAGAGGTGGATTTGTTGATAATCCAGGTATTTATGTCTCATAGTAATCAAGTAATAGAGGGTTGACTTTATCTCTTTTGAGAAGGGATGGCAATGGGTTGAATCGGGGGTGGGTATGCCATTTCCATGGCCCGCCCCATTAGAGAATAAAAAACCAATTATATAACTACAATGTTGAAAAGAAAAAAGAGTAATAAGACAACATAATGAATATATAGAATACATACTTAGAAGACAATATAACAATGTTTATATATATGTTGGAAGTTAACTAAATAAATAAGTACTGTGGTTTAAGATTTGTATACAATATAATCTACTAATATAAAATATAAAACTTAGTTGATACTCTGTATGTTCATAGCATATTTATATATGAGGTAAATGCTCTTGTGTGTTTCCATTTTGGGTCATTTGAATAAAATAATGCAGCTATGCAGAAAAATATATTAGTAAATACAGTGCTGAATAAATTTATTTGGAAGTCTGCTTTTGTTTCCCCCTTTTTTAAGTAATTGGGTGAGTTTTGAGGTTTGAGCATTTATTTGATCACTTATATGGTAGCTAATTATGTTTGTAACTTGGCATTTTAGAGGTTTGCTTATTGGTTTTGAATATATAATTTTAGCAATGAAATAACAAGAACCATATTGTGTCTGTCAATTGAAAGGAGAAAATATAGAAATATTTTTCTGAACAATTATATATGAAGCAAATGAAATTGATACTTGTGTTATTATAAATTAGATAATGAACATTAAGTACACTTCTAATTTTTGCAAAATATAATGTTATGGTTCAAAGGAAAGCAAGTTATCACCATATTCCAAAGATGGAGTGTTCACTATGTATTGTCACATCCGATGAAATTAAGTACGAAATTGAGTTTTCATAATTACTTTGGATGATTTATAGCTTCCCCCCGTTTTGTAACGGCACAAGGAGCTGGAAGCAATTTTCCGGGAAATTTTCTGATTTTTCTCCTATTTATTACCATTTTTTAAATCATTTTGCATTAAAAATTTAAAACATAAAGAAATAACATACATGGCAACAGCTGACCGCATCCCCCTTCAGTAGGTGCACACGTGTATGCTAGTGGCAATTGCCACATCCTTCCTTTCTGTGTGAATTTAAATGAATATTGCTATTTTCTTACAAAATTCATAACTAAATATAAAAAAATCGGGAAAAAATTTCGCAAATTGCTATGAACTCATTCAAACTTGATAAATCAAAATTCAAGTGTGTGCAAACATTTTACTAATCATGTGAGGCTCCTGTGATTAACTAAATCAAATACTCTGATTACTTTAATATATATATATATATATATATTAAAGTGATGGGACAAAAGGAGAAAAAACGAAATGGAAAACTTCCTTACATAATATATAAACATTGTTTTATGCCTATCGGCTACTCATGCCATTCATCTCTCTTTTCTTCTTTCCAGTCGTCTCTTTTGCATACAAACTTTCAGCCGAATCCCCCAATCTGACGATTTTTTCAACATGTCCGCCAGTTCAAGCACCAAAGCGAATCAGGGGGACTCCGATGGCTCATGGGAATATGCCCCCGATTATCCAAGGTCCCCACCACCACCGATGCCTCTTCCAACCTCCTCCGCAAGCAAGGGGGACTCCGATGATCCCGTTGTGGAAATAAATGATATGAAGAACAAACTGGAACACAACTCTTCCTTGGTCCATTATTGGACTCAAAAGTGTGTCGGAGCTGAACAGAAGTTGGCTTATTTGAATTGGCAAGTTAACAAAGCCCGTTACAGAAAAGAGAAGCAGAGAATTCGTGCCCAAAGAAGAAAGCACACAGCAAAGAATTTGCATATGACAGAGGAGGATGCTACGTATGAATCTTTGAGCATCCACAAAGGAGGTGACAACCAAGGCCATGCAATGTCTATGGCTTTCAACCAAGGTTTTGAGAAATTCCGACGGTTCGCTGCAGATGTCCACAAAGATATTGACTGGGACGCTATAACCCCGTCTACTACACAAGAAATCATCTCTAGCAGTGCACACCCAACAAAGCAAGGACACCAACCAGCAAAAGGCAACGATAATAACTGGTGATAGCCATATCAATCCGTAGGCAATCCTTTAGCAGTTGTTTGTTTTTGTTAATGCTTGATCTGGGTTAGTGTTTAAATGTGAATACCCGATTTGGGTTAGTGTTTAAATGTGAATGGCCGATCTGGGTTAATGTTTTAATGTTAATGCCCGATCATGCTTACGTGTAGCTTATTATTTCGTTTTACACTGCTATCAAACCCAGAGTTCAATCACAGTTCGATCACTAACTTCCGGATTAAAAGCGTTCATTTCGTAATAGTGCTCACAATTTTTTGTTTAATTCATTGTCGGTGGGGAGACAATTTGTTTCAAGATTCTCTGACATAGATATTCATTGGTTGAGACTTTACAGAGACATAGTGATTGTTTCAAGATTCTCTTACTGACACATAGTCATGGTTTCAAGATTCCCTTCGATATTTTCATATTCATTGCAGCCATTGCAAATTTGTGTAGAAAACCCCTTACACGATTCCCCCAAACTCATTCTCCTTCAAACAAGGGCTTCAGATTCTGAAAATCCCAAACCCTAGAGGACATTCGGGACATCCACCTTCAACAAAAGATGGATCCAAAACTTCGAGTTACGCATTGAAAGCATGGTGTCGTTCACGACCAAAAAATATGTAAATAGGTATCAATAAATGTTAAAACTCCGGGACCATAAATGAAATCAAACTCTTCCAGATAGTTATGTGTTTAATAAACCATAGTTCAGTATCAATGGACATGAGGCATTTACCTAAGATTCACTAACGCTTCCAGATACTTTCAAAAACATGTAAATAAGTATCAATAAGTGCTCAAACTGCTGGACCATACATGAAACCAAACTCTTGCATAAATGACTCTGTCATAGTAGGTTCACTGTCCTGCGTGCTCTGAGTGGGCTGCAAATTCTCACCAACTAGACCACCAAGTTCTGTGTCGGAACATGAAGAGCTGCCACATCGGAAATAAAATAATAATAAACATTAACAACATAAATTTCAAAGCACAATATAACACATATTCACTTACGGGCTTGCAAGTTTTGGACAACTCAATCTATCATAATCAGTCTTCCTACATTCAGTGCACCGATGTTTATGTCGTTGAGCTGCCTTCTCTTTTTCTCCTTTAACCCTTTTTGCACGCCCTTTTACTTTCACTCGATGTGGATCTTTGATTCTGAGTTGGGGATAACTAGTTCCGACATCTTCATTGGGTTCTTCGACATGAGCTCTTGATGACACCAACCTTGTAAGCTTCCCACGAATGTGCTCAAAAGATTTTTCCAGCAACTCAAAACCTTCATCACACAACAAAGTCGAATCAATCAAATCACTTGCAACTTTGCAAACTTTCGATCTCTTAACCAAAAGCAAACCATCAACGCAATCGTTAACTTCTTTGTGATTCTTATCATATATTACACCACTTTTCGCACTTTGAAGCCATCGTTTCGATTTGTACTTGTCTGGCAAGTGCTCCACCTGCTTCATTCTTAAGAATGCTAGGATGTGTCGGCACGAAATACCCCAAAATTCAAATCCTTTGTAGCTGCAATAAGCTTTATCGGCATCTTTATCATGCACAAGCTCCTTCATCCGTGTCACCCCCGGATTTACCCGCTCACTCACTTTGTATCTGTAGTGCATTTCATCTTCGTCTACAAGTTCGAACAAGCATAAAAGACTTCTGAAGTCTTCCTTCTCAAACATTTTCATAATTTCCCGAGTGTAAATGCGTCCCATTTGATGTTGCATTGGTATTTGAAATGGCAGTGGAGGTTTTTCATTGTTATCAACATGATCAGCCATTAACTACTTGTGTCTTTGTGAAGCAAGAGCTCTCTCAAAACGTACAATGAATTCCTTGTGTTTTTCCGGTTAATATATTGTTTGAAAAATGAATGACAGCTTTCGACCCGTTGACTACTTGACATCCCAGTCGAAAACACATGTTTTACATATGATGGAACCCAATCTCCCATATAGCATGAATTGAGCTCAGCCATGCATGGTCTTGCAGCCCATTGTTTGTGATGATTTCCTCCCATTTCGCATCAAATTCTTCTTTCTTGTCCATACCCCATATGCATTTGTTCATTTTCGAAAAACATTCTCCAATGCCGAGTTTCTCTGTAATCTTATTCAAGATATGCCATATGCAATATCTATGGAATGTTGTCAGGAGAGTTACAGCAATTGCCTTTGACATGGCTGCATCGTGATAAGTAATGATCATTTTGGATGGCTCACTCGGCACGGCTTTCTTGAATTCCTCTAACAACCATACAAATGAATCTGTGGTTTTACTAGTTAGGAATGCACAATCAAACAACACTGTCTGCCGATGGTTATTAATGCCTAACAAAGGCGCAAAGACCATCCCATAGCGGTTCGTGTTGAACGTCGTATCAAATATCACCACATCTCCAAAAAAACCCATAAGCTCGTCTTGACCTTGCATCTGACCAGAAAACATTACCCATTCTTCCTTCTGAATCTACCTCCATCTTGAAATAAAAGGATTCATTCTTTTCTTGCATAGCCATAAAATGCTCCTTAAGCAGATCTGCATCATGGCCAATCACCTCTCCATGCACATCCCTTAGATAATTATAGACATCTCTCTTAACAAACCCAACATTTTCCAATCCCCCTACTTGCACCTCAAGAAGGCTTAATTGTTTATGCACTGGAATATTAACTTTGCTCATATCTACACTATAGGCCTTTGTAGACTCTGTTAAGTTACGGTGAGATCTCAATAGATGTACTTTATCAACTGTGGTCATGTCATGGTTGTGTACATCATTGAATTCTATAACAATGTACTTATTCTTGTCTTTCACCTTCATATCATAAGTTTAGCCTTGCAACCAGTTCGAGTACAACCTCGCCGTCTTCTCTTAAGACTAACAATGCTTGTCAACGCATACCCTTGTTTACAACATACATATTCCTTCCTTGTTACCTCTCTTGTCATTGTACACGTCCTCGTTGTAGAACACCGAATGCCGAATCTGGCTTCCGCAGCATACATATTATAGAAATTAAACACATCGTCACAACAATCAAATTCAAGTCCAAATTTTGGTTTCAACTCCGACCTTACTTCTGGTGTCACCTGTCCTTCACACTACATTGCACAATTCTTGCAATTTAACCCTGAATTCACCACCATCATACCAAAATTGGCACATGCTTTCAAAGAGCTTTAAAATATATATATTAACTAACATATGACATGAAAATGATTCCCTGGTGAAATATTAAAGACTTACATACAAACTAATGTAACTTATGCTAATAAACTTGACAAATACAGTGTAAAGAGCTTCAAAATATATATATTAACTAATATATGATATGAAAATGACTCTCTGGTGAAATATTCAAGACCAACATACAAAATTATGTATGACAATGTCGCCCTTTTAGATCTGGACGTCAACCCCAAACACTTTTCTTCTTCCTTAACTCCTGTTTCGATCGTGCTCAACGATTTCAAAACCAAGAGAACAGCACAACGGTCGCGGTCACCAGTTTCCAACTCAAGACATTGCTCAAGGATTGACGAATGTTCCGACCAGAAAGACTGAACCACAAAGATGATAATATAAAATACACGAACACTTTCTTTCGCCTGAATGAGAAACCCAGAAAAATGAGGGCTAATACTTCTGTGTTCTTCCTGGAATCGAATAAGGAATAACAGGGGCTCTCTCTCTTCATTGTTATTGGTCTTGCTCAATCAAAGCTAATAAAAAAATTGGCCACTTTGAACAAAACGAACAGCTGGATTGGAGGAGACGTCTATTTTGGAGGGGACGTCTGTTTCCGACTCAACATTTTGGTGGGAGGAGAGAGAAGAATCGTTCTAATACAACACTTGCACTTACAATTGCTTTTGATGCAGCCGTTAGATTAGATCCAACGGTGTTCTCACGTAATGTTCGCACATAAGCGTTCTCACCTGATCCAAACCGATACTCTTAACAATCTAAATGCACCACGATCTTTCTCCTAGTCAAAGTCCAAAGGTTCACACCACCCTTTCACACTTCCCTTATGACAAAAGCAAAATAGGCCGGTGTGTACGACCCCATTTTTGTTTGGGTTGGGTGGGTGCAGTAATTTTCAGGATCAAGGTTTTTTTTTTTTTTTTTTTTTTTTTTTTTTTTTTATTTTTTAATTGTACTTCAGGTCCAGCTAAGCCCAATCGTAATTATTGTTATGCATTCGTGGCATGAAAATAATAGTTAAGAATCTCTGCAAAGAATTCTTGTTCATTCTAAGAAATATCTCATACAGTACCTGCTTGGTAACTAACCTAAACAGAAATTAAAACGTCAAAATAATATGCCAAATAAAAATAAAAATAAAAATAAAAATTCAGTTAAAAAAAGAAAAAGAAAAAGGTCCACTAAATCCTGAAAATCAAACACTGCACCCCAAATAAAATGGGGTCCTACGCATCGCCGGCCTATTTGCCCTTTTGCATGAGGAGAGTGTGAAAGGGTGGTGTGAATCTTTGGACTTTGAGTAGGAGAGTGTCGGGGTAAGGAGTTTTTCAGGGGTAAGGTTCATTGGCTGGTACGTAAATGGTTTACTGGTTGGTAAATGTAATGATGACAATATTCAAATACATTAACTTGGACCTTATTTTTTGGTTGGCCATGGAGTCAAAAGAGTTTATGGCTTGCTTTGGGCACTTGGGTACTTACGATATCTTAGGGATCAATGAAATTTCTCTCCTAATCTCCTCAAACCAAATCAAAATTGTTCAACGAAAACCATTAGGTTGAAACACACATGAACCTGTTGGAGAAAGATGGATATGAGAGAATTTGGAAGAGAGTTTTAAACAGAAAAACTAAAGCTTTATTGATTTCCTAAAATTGATTACAACACTAGGCCATCTTATTGGCTATTTATAATAACATTCAAATCTTTTCATAACAAACATAACTCTTGGATTAGTTCCAAGAGTTGCAGACACAACTCTAGACTTCTAATGAGATACAACTCTTCCTAAATATAGCTCTTCTCAAGAGACACAACTCTAATAACTGATACATCTTACAAGGAGAAAATGCATTACGTTTAACACTCCCTCTTAATGCATTTGTCCTGCGATATTTAGCTTTTCTCTGAAATAGTAGAACTTCTCTCTTGGAAGTGCTTTTGTAAAAATATTTGCAATCTGCTCATTAGTACCACAAAATTTCAATTCAATCTCTCCATCTTCAACCAATTTTCTGATAAAATGATGACGAAGTTCTATGTGCTTTGATCGGCTTATGGACATGTTATCACAATACAAATTTGTTGGAGTGTTTTGTTCTTGATGAAGATTTTCTAATATTCTTCTAATCCCAAACTGCTTCACATGCTGTACTTGTAGCTGAAATATATTCTGCTTCGGCTGTTGATAATGCCACTGTACTTTGCTTCTTCAACGACCATGATATAACTTTACTTCCCAAGAAAAACACATGCCAAGATGTGCTTCTTCTATCATCAATTGCACCAGCGCAATCACTGTATGTGAACCCAACTAAAATGCTTTCTTTCTCTTGTGTATATTTGATGCCATATCCTTTGGTTCCTTGCACATATCTTAGTATTCTTTTAACAGCAGCAAAATGATGATTATTTGGATCATTCATGAATCGAGATACAACACTAACTGCATGAACTATGTCTGGCCATGTATACATAGAAGCATCAGCTCTTGGTGCTCCATCATTACTTGAAAGCTTTAAATTAATTGCCATTGGAGTATCCATTGGCTTGCAATTCAACATATTGAACCTTTTCAAGAGATTTTCTGCATACTTTTCTTGATAGATAAAAATCCCTTTTTCCGATTGTTGGACTTGAATTCCTAGAAAATACTTCATAGAACCCAAATCAGTCATCTCATATTCTTTCGTCATGTCCTTCTTGAATGCTTCTACCATCCTTGGTTTGGTACTTGTATAAATCAAGTCATCAACATAAAGACACACAGTAAGAAAATCTATGTCACTAGTAAAAAAAAACCCTTGAGCGACCAAATTTTGCGCGACGAAAAACTATTCGTTGCCCAAAGTCACTTTGCGTGACCAAACTCAAACTTCGTCACTCAAAGTCTTGTGAGACCAAATTTTGCGTGATGAAAAACAATTTGTCGTGCAAAGTCACTTCGCGCGACAAACTTTTGTGCGACGACAATACATCATCGCCAAACTCTTGCATGACCAAATTTTGCGCGACGAAAAACAATTCCTCACGCAAAGTCACTTTGCGCGACAACAATACATCGTCGCTCAAAGTGACTTTGCGAGACAAAACAATAAACTTCGTCACGCAAAGTCCTTATAAAAATAAAAAAATTATGTTTTAAAATCTTTGCATGGCGTAATCCAAACATTTCGTCGCCTAAACCAATTTATTTTTGTTTTTTGTTTTGTATGCATAACACTTAAGAAATTAAACAATATATATTTATTATGTAGATTAAAATTTATTATTTTAGATCGGATCGGATTTTTGTTAGAAAAATATATTATTGTTGTTCAGATTGGGTTTTTGTTAGAAAATATATATTGTCAATTGACGATTGAATTAGTTCATTGTATTCATATAGGGTCAAGGAGTGTAGCTGTAAAAAAATCATCAAAATCGGAGTTAAAATAACCTCTAAATCGTGATTTTTCATTTATAACTGTCAAAAAGTTTTGTCCCATTACTTGATCTCTGAATATTTATTTTTTCCGATTTTTGGTGTATATGATCTCGAAGTATAAACAAAAAAGTTTGACGGTTGGATCGTTGAAACTAGTTTCGTAGAATGTGTATGTCATCAAAACAATATATTCACTAACAATTAAGAGTTTATTTATACTTTCGTTAAATATAACATAAGATTTTGTGGTATCCACTAGTGTAAATATTTTAAATTGAAGATCAAATTCAGTCATTGTATTCATATAGGGTCAAGGAGTGTAGCTGTAAAAAAATCATCAAAATCGGAGTTAAAATAACCATTAAATCGTGATTTTTCATTTATAACTATCGAAAAGTTTTGTCCTGTTGCTTCATCTCTGAATGTTTATTTTTTCTGATTTTTGGCGTATACGATCTCGAAGTATAAAAAATAAGTTTGATGGTTGGATTGTTGAAACTAGTTTCGTAGAATGCGTATGCCATCAAAACAATATATTCACTAACAATTAAGAGTTTATTTATACTTTCGTTAAATATAACATAAGATTTTGTGGTATCCAGTAGTGTAAATATTTTAAATTGAAGATCAAATTCAGTTATTGTATTCATATAGGGTCAAGGAGTGTAGTTGTAAAAAATTATCAATATCGGAGTTAAAATAACCGTTAAAAGTTTTGTCTCATTACTAGATCTCTAAATGTTTGTTTTTTTCGATTTTTGGGGTATACGATCTTGAATTATATACAAACAAGTCTGACGGTTGGATCGTTGAATGGTGTGTGTATATATATATATATTTATTAAATAGCTTTAATTTTATTTATTTTGTACGTATAACACTTAAGAAATTGAATAGTATATATATTTATTAAGTAGCTTTAACCTTATTTATATTTTAAATCTTAAAATAAATATTTTATTTTTTAATATTCATAACAATTATTTTTATAAATATTGTGCTACGAACCAATTTTTTGTCTCTAAAAATTTGTTCAGGTACCAAAATGGGACGCGGGATTGATAAAAAAATAAAAGAAAAATTTAGACTTTGCACGACCCATATTTTTTGTCGCTCAAAACTTTGCGCGACCAATATATATTTGGGTGGGTACCAAAAATGGGACGCGGGAATTTTTTATATATAATTTTGTTAGACCTTACGTGACCAATATGTATTTTTCGTCGGGCAAAAATTTAAAAATTTGGCGGGTACCAAAAATGGTATGCGGGAATATTTTTTTTTAGGCTTTGTGTGACCAATATTCCAATATTTGTCGCACAAATTTTTTTTTTAAGACTTTGCGCAACCAATATATATTTTTCGTCGCACAAAAATTTGGGCGGGTACCAAAAATGGGACGCGGCAATTTTTTTAGACTTTGCACGACCAATATGTATTTTTCGTCACGCAAAAATTAAAAAATTTGGCCAGGTACCAAAAATGGATCGCGGGAATATATATTTTTTATAATTGTTTTTAGACTTTGAGCGACCAATATTCCAATATTCATAGCGCAAAACTTTGCGTGACCAATATTCCAATATTTTTTGTCGCGCAAAGTGATACGGTTTTTAAAACCAAAATAACTCCTCCACCATTTTCTCAATTTCTTTCTCTACTCTTACCTCTCCTCTCTCTCTCTCTCTCTCTTTCCCTCTCCCCAAATCCCACCCTTTCTCTCACACTCACTCCTCTCACATAATCTCTCATCTCTCTCTTCACTATCTCTCACTCTCACTCACTCTCTCATCTCTCTTTTCACTATCTCTCACTCTCACTCACTCTCTCATCTCTCTATCACTATCTTCTCTAATTCTCTCACACTCACTTCTCCCTCTCATTCTCACTTACTCTCAATCTTGCCAAAAGGTATATTCTCTCCAAATTTTAATTTTTTTTCATTAATATGTGTTTTTGGAGTTAGTTTTGAGTTTGTGTGGGGTTTGGGGTTGAGTAAAGGGGAGGGATTGGAGTTTGGGTTGGATTTGTGGTAACAATTTTAGGGGAGATTATGCCTTTTTTTTTTTGTTATTTGATCATATATATATATTTTGTTTGGTAGGGAATCATCGAGACTTTGACGGCTAAAGTTGAGGATTAGGAAGCTATCAAAACATATATATCCTCCGCCACTACCACCACAATACGCTTGTATTAGGATTTTATTATTGTACTTTATTAATTTATGTGTACATTTTGAATATTATATATATTTATTGGATAATTTGATCACTATTTTTCATATGTAATTTTATTTTGAATATGTCAATTTAAATTAAAGTAATTAAAAAAATCATACAATTAAATTAAATTTAAAAAGTAAAAATTTGAAAAAATTAATATAATTAAATTAATATGAAAGAAATAATAAAACAAAAAGTCAAAAACCTTGTGCGACAAAATATTTCGTTGCGCAAACTATTAAATTAGTTTATTTTAATTAAAAATTTTAAAACACAAAAAATATTTCGTCGCGCAAAATATAAAATGTAGTAGTGTGTGTACCTTCTTTCTTGAGAGAGAGTGATGGCTCAGTTGGACTTCTTACAAATCCACTTTGACGGAAATATTGATCAATTTTGCTATTCCAAGCTCTTGGCGCTTGCTTTAAGCCGTATAGTGCGTTCTGAAGTCAACAAATTTTGTCTTCATTTCCTTTTTCAATATATCCTTGCCGCTGCTCCTCGTAAACTTCTTCTTCAAGTTCTCCATTCAAAAAAGAGGACTTGACATCCAATTGAAAAACTTGAGTTTTCAATTGTGCTGCCAAAGGCAACACAGTTCGTATAGTTTCCATTCGTACAACCAGAGCAAACGTTTCATTGAAATCTATTCTAGGTTATTGTTGAGAGTAGCCTTTGGCAACCAGCCGAGGCCTTATGCTTTTGGATTGAGCCATCTTCATTGTATTTTGTCTTGTAGATCCATTTAAGTCCAATGATGTCCTTTGATTTAGGCTGATCAACAAGCTCCCACGTAGAATTTTTCTTGATAACTCTAGTTTCTTCTTCCATTGCGTCTTGCCAAATTTTTTCTTTCACAACTTCCTCAAATTTTTTAGGCTCCAAAGCACTCAAAGCAAGATCACACGACTCATATATGTCGGCCAATGAACGTGTTCTTGCATTTAGTCTAGAAGTTGAATCTGGTGAACTAGGATAAGATGTTCTTGCACTTGGAATTGGACTTCTTGCCTTTGAAATTGGACTTTGGGGCAGCAGAGATTCTTCTAAATTTGATGTTTCTAGTTCCAACAAAAAACTCTGTACTTCACCTTGTTTGTTTTCCCATCTCCATACCTTGAATTCATAAAAAATAACATCTCTAGAAATTACCAACTTATTAGTTCTTGGATCAATCAATCTGTATGCCATGGACTTGTCACTATAACCCACAAAAAATATTTTTCACCCTTCTCATCAAACTTTTCTCTCTTTTGAGAAGGAACATGTGCATAGGCTATGCAACCAAAGATCTTAAAGAAATCAACCTTTGGCTTAAACCCATGCCATGCTTCAAAAGGAGTCATATCCTTGATAGACTTGGTAGGTGACCTGTTGAGAATAAACACTGAGGTATGAATTGCTTCAGTCCAAAACGCATTTGGCAGACCTTTCGCTTTTAACATGCTTCTTGCCATTTCCACAATGGTTCAATTTCTTCGTTCTGCAACACCGTTTTGCTGTGGAGTGTAGCTTGCCGTCAATTCTCTTTTTATTCCATTGCTTTTGCAAAATTCTGAAAATTCATTTGATGTGAACTCTCCACCACAATCAGTTCTCAACGTCTTCAGATTATATCCACTTTGTTTCTCTCCATAGGCTTTACATTGCTTGAAAAAAGAGAATGCTTCTGACTTTTGTTCTAGAAAATAAACCCACATCATCCTGCTATAGTCATCAACAAAGAGAAGAAAGTATTTCTTGCCATTAAAAGATGGTGTTCGAGTCGACCCGCATATATTTGCATGTACCAACTCAAGAGGGGCTCTTTCTTTCCATGTTGATTGTGAAAATGGTAAGTGGTGGAAATTTCCAAAAATACAACCTTCACATATTTCTTTCTCAGACTGAACGGAAGGCAAGCCAACCACCATATCTTTTTGATGTAAAAGCTGTAGACTCCTTTGATTTAGATGTCCGTATCTCATATGCCACAATAGTGATTTTTCTACATTTTCAGCTTCCAAAACATAGTTTTCTTTTGATGTCATGATCAATGGAAAGACTTTGTTTGCCATCATTTTTATCTTAGCCACTACAGTGTTTTTCTTTTTATCAGAAATAACACAGTGATCATCATCAAATTTAATAGAGAAGCCTTTTTGTAGGAGCTGTTCTACACTTAATAAATTTTGTGCCAAGTTAGGAATATATAGCACATCATAGATTAGTTTTGGTGTACCTTCTCGAGTTTGAATAGAGATAATACCCTTGCCTTCCATGTTGTGAAGCTTTCCATCTCCGAGCTTGACTTGTGAATTCACATTTTCTTCAAATTTGACAAAACATTGTCTGTTTCCCGTCATGTGGTTACTGCATCCGCTATCCACGTACCATATATCTTGTGGTTCTTGACGAGAACTAAGACATGTATAAAATAGTTGCTCTGGAGAGTCATTATTTTCTGTGAAATTGGATTCATTATTTTTCTGATATCTGCAATCTCTTTGAGATTTGGTATTCTGCATCGGGTACACCTATACCGACAATCTGCACTTTTGTGCCCAGTCTTCTTACAAACATGACATTCAGGGACAAGGTTACCATTCTGGTTGTTTTGATGGCTGCATCCTTGCTGATTGTTGTTATTATAGTTGCCTTTGTTGTAATTCTTCTGCCAATGAGATTCTCCTTTACTTTTTCTGTTTTGGGACTTTTGAGATTCTCCTTTTTGTTTGTCTTCTTTCTCCTTTGAATCCAATTTGGATTGAAAAGCTTGCTCCAAGGATTGGTCTATAGACCTATTAATCCTTTTTTCATGTGCTTTCAAAGAACCAATTAGTTTATGGAGCGAAAGTGCAGTGAGATCTTTTGACTCCTCCATTGCTGCAACAACATGATCGAACTTTGGCAGTAGATTGCGTAGAGTTTTCTCTACAATTTTCTTGTCTGGAATTGTATCCCCATAACTTCTAATTTGGTTAACAATTCCATAAACTTTTGTGAAGAAAACCTGAATGGACTCATTCTCCTTCATTAATAAATTATCACACTCTCGCCACAAGGATTGGAGTTTGATGGAGATCACTTTCTGTGAACCTTGGAACTCAATTTTGAGTATTTCCCAAGCATTTTTTGATGTAGTTGCAGAATGTAATCTTGGAAAGAGATTTTTGCTTACTCCCTGTTGAATTAGGAATAAAGCCTTGGCATCTCTTTTCCTATTTCTTTAAGTGCTGGCTGCGATTCCGGTGTCGCTTTTCACGAGTTTTTTCCGGTTCCTCGTAACCATCTTCTACAAGATCCCAAAGATCTTGAGAGATGAACAAGGTCTTCATTTGTAGGCTCCAATATTCATAATTCTCTCCATCGAAAATAGGCATTAAATTTTGAATATTTCCAATGGTTGAGGAATTTGAACTTGATGCCATGATTAACACAATGGAGGGATCGATTGGCTCTGATAAACCAAATTTGTTGGAGAACGATGGATATGAGAGAATTTGGAAGAGAGTTTTAAACAGAAAAACTGAAGCTTTATTGATTTCCTAAAATTGATTACAACACCATCTTATTGGCTATTTATAATAACATTCAAATCTTTTCATAACAGACATAACTCTTGGATTAGTTCCAAGAGTTGCAGACACAACTCTAGACTTCTAATGAGATACAACTCTTCCTAAACATAGCTCTTCTCAAGAGACACAACTCTATTTAATAACTGATACATCTTACAAGGAGAAAATGCATTATGTTTAACAGAACCAAAGTTATTCAACTTACTAATGGTCAGCCGACCTCAAGAATTTTGCCCATCAACAAACTCTCTAGATAACTTTATATGCCTGTACTTTATATACTCAATCGACATATATAGGAGCTGCTTTAGCCTATTATACAATCATATCATAATCCTTAAGCACAGGGACCGATATTCTAGTGCTGGAGTAGGAGAGGTTGGGAGGTGGGGGGCGGGGCGGTGACATGCATTTTAACAAAAAATTCACCGTCATACACATCACCCATTAGACTAGCAACCAGTGATGGAGCCAGAAACTTTGATAGAAGAGGCATCTCAAATATTAAAATATATTTTTCTTACTGTGACATTTGAACTAATTTTTTACGTGATACTAAATTCCTAAATTTGATTACTATATTATTTTACATATCACATTCACTATCTATTTATCATTGATACTAACAAAAGATATTGACTCAAATTAAATGTGCTTTGTCAGATATACAAAGATTTGATAATAAAAGATTTGTAATTGTGTTAAGAAAACAAAGGTCTCAAGAAAGTTTAGAGGGGGGCATAGGATCCCCCAATGCCCTAGCTCCCTCTCCGCCCCGGACTATATCATGCTATATAATCCAACTCACCAAATGAGTATAATAGAAGAATGAATGTCCCAACATATCGCATGGTACAAGGTATTAAACCTTAATATTCCGTTTATTCTTTGGTGACTGATCCCAAATATTTCTTGTATACAAACAAAGTAATTAAAACTGCCAGACAAAATCATATCCGCAGCATGTCAAAAACAGAATATACAATGAGACCTGTGGTGGAGAATAGAAAGTTTTACTCATGCACGCCGTCTAATAGGTTTTACAATAACTATAAAGAGTTTATACAATGCGGAGGAGTCCAATGGCAACATCAAATTCTCATATGGTATATCTCAATTCACATGGCTAAAGAAATTCTGGAATTACTATGATAAGCCTAAAAAACGCAATAATCGTCTTATAATATTCTTGCAGTTGTATTTGATGTTGCCAAAGTTTTGTATCCCAACTTTTCTGGAATTAACTGCTATAATTGTGTTCTTATAAATGTCGTGACTGATACCTTCGTTTTTGTGGAAGCCCTCGTTTCCTTCACAGCCACCTTCAGCTTGGCCGGCATTGATGTTGACGTTGTGAAAGTTGAACATCCCAACATTTGAGGATTGATTTTGTGCTGTAATTTCATTGTTAGAAATTATGGATTCGTTGGTGCTGCCACCTTGGCCTTGGGCGGAACTCGAGCTACCTGCTGCTTTGCCGTGATTTTTAGTACTAGTAGACTTGAAGTTGATGTTGCTGTTGCCAAAGTTTTCAAACCCAACGTTTGTGGATTTATTGTCTGCGGTAATTTTATTACAATCAATGTTGTGACAGATACCTTTGTTTTTGTGGAAGCCCTCGTTTCCTTCAGAGCCACCTTCAGCCTGGCCGGCATTGATGTTGACGTTGTGAAAGTTGAATTTCCCGACATATGAGGATCCATTGCGTGCTGTAATTTTTTTGTTATAAATTATGGATTGGTTGGTGCTGCCACCTTGACCTTGGGCGGAACTCGAGCCACGTGCTGTATTTTATAAATATTGGATTGGCTGGTTCCACCACCTTTGGGTTTCTTTCCTCTTGGCCTTGCTCCCGTTGTGGGAGGCTCAAAAATCCCAACATCCGCTGCGTGATCGGGGTTCATAATTTCATTTGTGGCACTATATCTGTTGCTGCCGTCGTCTTCTTTCATTTCTGGCTGGAGCTTTAATAGACAACGGGTACACAAACAAGATAAATTTTAATCATAATTCTATTCAAATTTTAAAAGATCAGAAACGATATTTGGATTACAAAAATCCTACAAAGCAGGAATCAGATTCAGCAAGGACTAACAAAAATAAAAAATAAAAACCATGAGTAACTGAGGGGAAATCTTCCAAATAAAAATAATAATTAGAAGAAAAAAATTGTGTTATAAGTCCTGAAAATTTTAAGAATTAACAAACCGAGACAAAATTTTACATCTTCAAGCAAAAGCAAATCTTGTTCTCTCACCCCTCTCTTTTGGATGATCTGCTTCTAAATACCTAAACACTAAATTTATTCAATGAAGACCCAAGCCCTAATTCTGTTCATTGAACACCAAACCCCTAATTTGATAGAATGGAAGCCACAATAAAGCAGAAAAATGAAAGAAAAATCGACATAAGTAACTCATAATTCCAAAAATGAAACAAAAAATTAGAAGAAAAAAATTGGAAAGGCATACCAACTGTGTGGCCTGGGTCTATAGCTTCGATTCGACCAACGAAGCAGAAAATGACTGTGAGGTGTGGATGGAGTTTTGACTGAGAGCAAAAAAATGACTGTCCTTCCTTCCTTCCTCCCACTTTTATTTCTTCTTCTTTTTAGTTAATGAAATTTTTGGTTTTGCACTAAAGATAATAGAACGGCAAAATCATATATTAAGAGTGCTGATATGTGATCGAAAATGAGTTGAGGAGAAGAGTTTTTCTTTTGTCAAACTGTATAATGGGTGGGTTAAGGTTTTTTCATAAGTCCTTAGAAGTCATTTATAAAGGGATAAATTTATGTTTAAAATTCTATAAATAAGGTGGAAAGGAAAATAGAACATGGGGCTGAAATAGCTGCATTTTATATTAATACTAGAGTCAAAAGAGTGTACAACTAGTTGGCAAGGGAGCCCATCAGAATCATTGCCTGTAATTCTTATAAGAAGATTACTAGCCTCTTCGTACGTGCTTTTGTGCCTGTGAGAGGTCTTTTTTCATACAAAAATTAAAATTTATTTTAGAATTAAAAGAGATAATGGGTAGTTGTGTTATATAAAAATAGGATTCATTATTTTTCTTTTAATTTTAATTTTTTTAATATAAAAATGTGTGAATTTACCACATTATCCTCATTTAATTAATAATTTTTATCCTTAATGTTTGGATTAACAGAGGACATTTTCTAGTATTTTGAATGTTTCACCATTCTCTGCCTTTTGTTTTATATATATAGATAATCTCCCACAAAATAAGTGACACAATTAAGAAAACAATAATGAATTTATGGGCCAGTGTGATCCCAGGCCTCCACTCCACTTTTTACCTCTTCTATTTGTATATTATATATGATATATAATATTATAAAATATTACATTAGTTTTAGAATATTTCCTAAAATAAAATAATATATTAGGTTCTTTTCGTCTACAAATTAACTATAAAATTTCTTGATATCTCTTCTACTTTTCTCCCTTAAATCTTCTAGGTTAATTTATGATATTTGCACTAAAAACTCCCAAAGTTTTAACCTTTCTTTCTCTTCCTCTTTTGTTTAAAGCTTTGTGAATTTTTTATCTTCCTCAAATTTTTTTTTTCATGTATGAGTTGGGTACCTTAATATATATTGCGCTTTATGAACTCTTTTTTTTTTTTTTTTTTTTTTTTTTCTATTTTCTATTTTTGGAATATAAATGATTAATTTTTAAGTCTTTGCATAGATGAGTATCTAACCAATTTAAAATATGAAATGCATGATAATTACGAAGAGAAGACAAGTTTTATGAAGGGCTCCTCTAATGTGAAATCCGAGCTCCGTCACTATTACTTAGCATTAATATACTTATGGCATGTAGAAGAAGAAAGAATACAGAAATATAAGATAAATAAGATTCAAATTCAGATAAAGGAACGAAAAGAAAAGTTTGACTGTAACAGCTTTGGTGGCCATACATCTCCAAACCCTTCCGCTGCGTAATCGCACGGGAAACTCCAAGCCTCGCGTTTCTTGCTTACTTATTTATTTGTTTATTTAATTTTTGCCAACTATTTAATTTTTTTCTTCTTGGTCGTGTCTGCTTTTTCACTCAAGCCACTTGCTTCATTTTTTGTTTTTCTTACTCACCATTAATATATAAAAGGAAAAAAAAAAGCTAGAACAAGAAGACTATATAAGAAGAAATGGTACGCTCGATTTCTTGTAGTACTGGTTGCCAACTTTGCTAATCCCTGCACGCTTGCCTTTGTTTGAATAAATGCTATTGCCACCAATGTTGTGGTTTTGACCCCTTCTTGCTTGATGAACATCAACATCACCTTCACCTTCACCTTCATGATATTCATTGCAAGTGTCGCAAATACCAACATCTGTGCGATGATTTCATTCTCAAGAATGTTGAAGGTTTCATTGCTTTCATTAGTATTTTCTGCCTCCCTACTATTTCCGTTGTGCTAGAGCTCTTGTTCAGTTCTTTCTTCTTGGCGCTCTTGTTCAGAAAGCGTTCTAGGGTGACTAGAAAAAAAGTTTCTTACCCTCTCTGTTTGGGCCAAAAGCAACCACGTACCTGCCCATTTCTCAGAAAGGCCCACGAAAAAAAAAAAACGGAGGACTAGGCTTTGAGTTCAAAAAAGAGGAAGCCCAAAAAGCCAAAATCTAGAAACCCATGATCTTTCTTGCAAATCAACCACCAAAAATAGACAAATAGAAATTGAAAGAAGTTTGATGGGGCCCAGCTGTTGGTTCACCACTAAAATCTCAAAGCCCAGAGTGCAAAGATAGCAAAGATCTTTTTTGGAAAGCCTATTTTCAGAATTCACGTGACTACCTGACTTAGAAAGAGTCAACAATTTCAACTATCATAGGGGAAGTGATTGAGAATTAAATGAAAGCAGGTCATTTGGCAAGAAAATTTCTCTGAAATCCTTTTTTTTACAATTCTACTTCAGAAAAGGTGATCCTTCCAAGAGATAAGCAAGCTACAAACTCAAAAGAGATAAGCAGGAAACAGGGAGTGGTTCAAATTGGAAGATCAAACTAACCATCACGGATTGAACTCTTATAGGGGCAATTGGAATTAAAGAGGGGTTAGACCCTCTTTTAGGAAAAACAGGGAAGTGATCTAAAGAATTGACTATTGAGAGCTTATCTGCCAGAATTGATAAAACCTTTTTTTTTCTTTCCATTAAAAATGGAAGATCCTGCTTTCTAGAAAATCTGCAGCCCATTTTTAAAGGATTAAAAATTCTATTCCAGCACTCCTATAAAAATAAAGAGAGGATGAACAGAGCAAAGGGGACTCAACTCAACAATCAATCAAACAACCAAAAATCAACCAAAGGCAAAAAAACTCAAAATGATCACTTGATCACTGAGAACCTTCAAACAAACGGGAGCAATCAAAAGCTCTCTCTTGAACCACAAAAGAAGCCAGCTATAGATTAGAACTTCCAAGTTCATACTTAGAGAAATAAGTCATTCAAAACGAGACTTCTCTCATTACAAATTTGGTTCAGCAAAAGCTAAAACAAGCAGAGTTGGAGTTTTACAAATATGAAAACCTCAACAAATTTGTGGAGAGCCCTGATCAAGCAGAACAGGTACTATAGTGCAGTTCCAGCTCAGTAAGTCTTCAAGTCCAGCCACTTCTACCCCTTTTAGATTGAAGAGGCCGCAATTCTACCCATTCAAAAAGCCGTACAGGGCTTGAAATAGATTCAAGCTCTGTCAAAATTGAACTTTGGTATCGATTTACAGCTGAAGCTGAGCAGTTGAAGTTAGAGACAGTCCAGTCCAACACGGATATACCCAGTCCAGTCCAGATCAGATGCTTTTGTCCAGGCAGAAATGGAATTTCAGCTATCTTTTGTCTTTCTATAGTTGATTTTTTCTTTTCTAGTTTTGTAAAAGGTAGTTCTGCCTAAAACAATGCACTTTATTATTAATTATTCTGGCCAGAACCACCAATTTTGTACTGAGATAAATTGTGAAGTCCTCACCAGTTTGAGGCAAGAAAAGAACTTACTTGGGAGATATTCCTCACCCAAATTCACTATCGCTTGTTTATAAATCAGTAATTTGGGGCGGAAGTTATCTGTTTCAAAGAAGTTTGCTAGGATTTTTCATTACTAGTAGTGGCACGCTTGCACACCAAAGAAAGTGGGCTTGTTGACCAGTCAATGGTTTTCAAGGCAATGGGGAACTTTGCCCTTTCATCACAGGAATAAACACAAAACGGATGAACACTCTCTTGTGAGCTCTTGTTCAGTTGTTTAGCTTTAGTTCGAGACCTATCTTCTATATATGCAAACTAATTACACAAATTCCTTATAGGATACACATAGAATCACATCAAGGAAATTATCTTGAATCAAATAAAAATATTAATCATGCATTATACATACATACCTGCCATTGATGAAAGCTCAAAAGAAAGTCTTCTCCTCTCAGTAGAGTTCTTATGTTCAACTAGTAATAGGAACACACTATTATATGTGTGGATTTATTTATCTCTTTATTATATCGGGAATGATCAACTTGAAATATATAGACTTTGCCAAAAAGTACTGTGTGTGGAGAAGGTTAGAGATTTTTTTTTTTTTTTTTTTTTTTTCCCAAACCTCGACAGTGCTAGTGCATTTATTAAAAATAAAATAAAAGAATTGCAAATTAACAATCCAAAATTAAGCAAAATTAAGATTAGCCAAATCAACATACCTAATCATACAAAAAATAATAAATACACCGGTCCTACCAGGTAAGAAGAAATCAAGGGTAAAATAGTTTGCCAAAGCAATTACCACCCCACCTACCATAGCAGAAATTATCAAGACTCGAGAGGTCAAATCAAGAATGCAAATAACAATAAGGATTTTCAGAAGTTTTACCCTGAAGTTTTACTCGAGAGGTCTAATCGACATTTTTTCAGTGACATGACGTCATGTCACTGAAAAAATTAGATCATTTTTCTTTGATGCATTGCGTTCATTCAGCTTATTAGCTTCTGCATTACTTTTTTGTCCCTATATATGTCATTAATTCTAGCAAAGTCGTGACAATGGTTAATGATTGTTCAAAATCTAGCTGTAGTGTCAAATTTTTTGTTAAGTTGTAAACGTGCCTCGTGCCATTAAGGAAATTAGGGCTTAACTCTCAATTCAAAGAAAAGATTAGAGTTAAACGTTTGCACTCAGGGCTTAACGATCTTGGGGAGAATTTAGGTATCAAATTGAGATGGGCAGCATTGAGGTTAGGGTTTTGACACTATTTTGAGGTGATATCGAGGATTTGTGGAACTTACGACTGTTAATGTATGCATTTTGAGTTTTTCTTTTGGCTTCCCTTGACAATTTTGTAATAGGATTTTTATTATTTTTATCAAGCTCAAGTTTAGATTAAGAATAGCTTCTCCAGGTGTTCTTAACTAACAACTATCCTATGGAGGTTCAAGCAAATTGACAAAGATAAATTGTGCATTGGATCACATTACATTAAATTGATTTCATAAAATGATGACTACTCATTTGTTTCTCGTATGACTAGTCATTCTTGCTCTGTAGGATTTCCAGCTAGATAACCAACTATTTTGTCCTATTCTCCTTTCTCTCTCTGTTGCCATGTGTTGATTCTAACCTAGGGAATTTTGGGGGTTAAAGGCCAAAGGATTTTTCATTTGGTAGCCGTCACTTTGGGGGACAAGTTTTGGAAAGTTTCATAGCAAACTTTCTCTTCTTCTTCCTCAAGAGTAACCTTCATATTTTTCATCTTTGAGTTTTCCAAATTGTTTCTTTTTGAAAACTGCATTTGAAATATGAAAACTTCATCTTGCTAGATTAAACACTCTATCATATATATCTAGGTCAAATTCAAGATTGATTTCTTCAAAAGTATGGTTTCTTGAAGAAATTGGTCATTTTCTCCATGAATCCAAATTTCATTTCTGTATGAGTTAGAGCTTGCAAGCTAGTGCCATGGGATGAAAGAGCTGGAGAAGGAGTTGCCATTGCCATGAAGAATTGAGCTTCAAGCTTTACTAAGTTGGAGAAGAAGATTGCACAAAGGAGGTACATCTTCCTAAATAGACCTAGTAATTTCTTGAGCTTGCTAGTGTTCTTTGTCAGAATCTTTTTGCTTAGTGGATTGCCTGGTCGGTTGATGACCCTCAGTTTTTCCCAATGATGGGTTTCTGAGTGAACAATTTCTGGTTTCCATCTCTGTAAATTTTATGGGTTTGTGTTCTTGATAGTTGACTAGTCATCTGGGTTTGTGTTCTTGTGGTTAACTAGTCATCTTTTTCTATTATTTGGTGTAGGGTCTTGGTGAAGTTTTTGCTTCCAACTGAGGTTGTTTAACTATCGAGCCCTTGAGTTTAAAATGCTGACTTCTTTAGATGTTCGGCATGTAGGGTTTTTTTTAGTCGTTGACAGCTATTGCGAACTGCAACTTTTGCTGTAGTAATTGTGAACATTATTGTTTCCTAGTGATTTAGGGAATTTTAGTGGTACTTAATATAGTGCAGGCATCCTGCTTGCGTGTGTTTGGGTTTACGTTAGGTTAGTGGTGGTCCCACCATGTTCATATACTGCCCTTACTTTTCAAATTGTGATCATTTCACCATGAATTCAAGTTTGAACAAGATTCAGACCAAAAACAAAAGTTTGAACAAGAGTTTTGTTCACACTTGACGTATTCAACTACCTATATGGTAGGGTTTGAAAACATGCATGACAGGACCCGCCTCGGAATTTTCCCTGAAATCGGGGCGGACCCCGTCTTGGTGCCGACATCTCCCCGATGCTGGGCCCACTTACTAAAACCCGAGACATCCTACCAAAATTTTGGCAGAGTCTCCCCTGTAAAATGCTCAAACCCAACAACATTCAACCTGCATAATTTACATAATATAAATCCCAACTGCCAACATGCTTTCAACATACAACAATCCAAACTAAAGTGGCCTCCGGCCTCAAGTTACAACCTAACATGGGCAATAACAGAGCATCTAACAGAATTAGTTTACAACAAACAGTTGAGTAGAAGGAATTTACACAAGTCCTATCTACGGATGGAACAATTTGAGCTCGTACTCTGCTCGAACGCTTCCAAGAGCAACTACTGCCTGGGGGGCGCAAAACAGAAATATGTGAGTGGACAAAAATAAAGTTTGCATTTAAAAAAAACATAGTAACCCCACCGTGTAAAAATAATGCTCAAGCATGCAGTTTCACAATCCATAAACCAAATACTCAAAACATAAAATCTCAAAGTCCAATAACTCTCAAAATCTCAAACCACAACTCCATTCCCAAAATATGCAACTCTTGCCAACCCATACATATATATATATATATATATATATATAAATATATAACTATAATATAACATATACTTCTCTCCATACTAATGTACCGGGGAAAACAATCCAACCGGGGGATTGTTTGGCTGGTACGCAGGATTTCCAGGTACTAACCCACATCCAGGGATGAGTAGTCCAACCGGGGGACGGAACTCCATAGCTCACACGCCGGCACTGCCAACGACACGTGTAGCTCACATATCTCATAACAAGTCCTACGCGCGCAGACAATATCATCACCCCACCGGCACTGCTAACGACATGTGTGATAATACTAAGCAATATACATACTCTTCCCATACGTCGGCACTGCCAACGACACGTATGGGAAGTGTCTCACACACCGGCACTGCCAACGACGTGTGTGGGAAGCCTAGTAACCAAGGAATGGTACTCACCTAACATACTCATACATCTCACAACCATCCCTCAAACTCATATCTTTCCATAATCTCACAACAACAACTCCTCGTACTCTATACATAGGCAATATAGAAAGATATCCCAAAATCCATATAAACATATCCATAATACTCAAATATAGCCATACCCAAAATATATTGCCAATACATATATGAATATCCAAATCCATCAACCAAATACTTAATAAATCACATTTACCATTTAAAAACATATGCACAAATCTTTTATCAATAAAACCATGTGAATGCTTAAAAACAAAGTCCACTCACAGATAATCCCAAGCTGCCCGGCCCCGAGAGGGTCCTGCCTGCTGCGTATGATCAACCGAAGTACCTATTTCGAGATACGAACCCTTGATTAATTTAATGCACTTCGAAACGGGAATTCACAAAAGGAAATACTTAAATCCCCAAGTTCCCAGTGCATGTACGTCCAATAGGATATCCTAAGGTCCGGTTACAGGTTTGGGAATCGCTTCCAATCGTACGGTTATCGCTAATCCCACAACCTTTGAATTATTGACTCGGAACATCCGGGGCTCCGATTCACAATCCGCGAATTCCTACGCACTCGTAACAACCTAAGGATCTCATCGGGACAAAAAGCAACTTCACCAGCCTTGCCCACGCGCCGCCACACGCGCCGGCAGCGAGTGGGTGTGTAGAGGAATTTCCGTGAACGTAAAATCTCCACACCAACGCTCACCCTTCCTACCCTAGCTTCTTCTCAAGGTCAGGATCACTTTATTCAACTACCACGAGGTCCAATTCGCATGGGAACTGGCCGGAATTTCAAATTGAAAACCGGCCAAAACCTAGGTTTCCAATTCGGTTCCCAAACTCAAAATCGATCCAAACCTAAGCAACAGTCAGCTAGAATACGTAAAAAGGAGAAGAAACCTCACCAATTTTACCTGAAACGGACAGTGGAGGCGGCGGCGCAACGATCGGAAACTTCCGGTTCGAACCAGTTGATACCGTCGGCGATTCTCTGGCTTTCCGGCAAGGAAATTGGGTGGGTCTTGATCGGAACTTCACGACGAGTCGAACGGGACCGGTCTCGAGGGCTAAGGTGGTCGGACGTGGCGGCTGGGTGGCGGTTTCCGTCTCGGTGAACAGTGACACGCGGGGGGGGGGCGTTTGAGCGCAGAGAGAGAATCGGGGGAGAGAGAGAGAGTGTGAGGTAAAAGTGAAAAGTCTGATTTTTACTCAAACTTACTTTGAAATAATTACAGTAGCGCCACCGAACCTAATTTGCTCGTCAAAACTTCATTACCACTCTGATTCAAGCCTACCGCATGTCAACAGATTCGTCTCAGTACCACCTACGCAACCAAACCACTTGTGGTCCCAAAATCTTCCCGGATAAGAAAATGACCAAAATTACCGTTAACCCAAGGGTAAATTCATAATTCTCTTAATTTAATTCAAATAGGAATAAATTTGGAGTCCGGATGTTACAATGCCCGTGAACCAGCGAGTGGTCTCTATTGTTTGAACTGTGACATTGCTGTGTCTTGGCATTACGTACGTGTCCCTTTTTATTTTGGCATAACTCTTTTGAATCTCAAAAACAAACAGTTTATGAAGGCTTATATAGTTGAAGGAGAATTATAAGCATAATCTTCATTCAATCACAGTGAAGATTAAAAAGTTACACGTCCACATTGCCGGTCCCGCCGACATTGACTCTCACTATGGTAGGACGGAGACTTAATTAGGACTTTGGTTCCTTACTTAGTTAGGACTTTGGTTCCTTACTTAGTTAGGATTTTGGTTACTTACCAATTTATTTAATCCTATTGTAATTGAGATTTATTTACCCTAAACCTCTCCTCCCATTCTCTTCAAGGGAGGAAGGGAGAGTGAAAATGATATGTTTCTCTAGGGTTGATTTTTGGACAGATCAAATCGGAATAAGAGGATTCCAATCCCATTGTAAAAAAATTCAAAATGAAAATTCTTTTCCAATTATGTTCCAAAAGTTTCCGAATTTCAACATTCATTCAAATTCGAAATTTCAGAATTCTTTTGGAAAATTTCTGAAAATCAATGGAAGTTTTAAACATGTCTAACAATTTGAACGGTTGAAGTTGGCTCAAAATTGAAAAATCACATGAAAAACTCAAACAACTATTATATGATATAATTTATATGTCGTTATCCTTTATGAAATAGCTCGTCCGTCTATATCTATTTTGATCATTAAGTCATATCAAATTCAACATGAAACTAGCCATTATGTACAAGAATCCCAAATATATTATGGAATTCAAAAATATTTAATTACTGAAATGCCCTTGAAGAAAGTAAAGTTTATTTCATTTGGAATTCAACACGAAACTACTACAACTTTTCATGTGGAAATATTCTATAAAATATTCTCTATACTTATGATATGTATTAACATAAAAATTCATTATTAAACTATTGTTTGGCTACATGGTGGGGGAGGTGGTGTGCTACAAGAAGATGATAGTGGGTGAGGTGGTCGGTCGGCTAGTAAAATATGAGAGGGTGAGGAAGGTGGTACGAAGATGAGAGAGTGGGTGAGGGTGGGTTAGGTATTGCTACCCTATCATTATAAATTTATGATTTGAAAATGTATGAATAATACTAGTTTTACCCAATTTTTTATACGACAATTTTATACCACATGATGTGGCAACTAATGTGTACATACCACATTATGTAAAATACTAGTTTCTGTTTTTCTAATTTTATTTATTAAAATACACTTCATTCATTTAATTGATGTGGCATATGATATAGACATGCCACATCATGTGACATAGAAATATGGGATAATAATGTGGTAAGTGCATTACTCAAAATGTACAAATTCTACAATTTGAGGAATTTAAAACTTCAGCAATGGTGATGCTCAGAAGAACCTTATTGCCTATATCATATATGCGTGCAATCAAACAGTAAAATTGAGGGAATTAACTAACTAAAGCTGAACTTGGGAGGAGCATTAATATTAACCATCAACATAATATATAACTTATTTTACTTATCAAATTAATATTACATATAACTTAACTAAGATGGATGGAGGGGGAGGCCCTAGCTAGCTACAGATCTCAGTGAGTCATCATCAGTACCGGAGGCCGAGTCGGTTTCTCCACCGGAGTCGACTGGTTTCTCTTTCCCTTGGCCTTTATAGATGTGGGTGTTGCCAAACTCAAAGGTTCCTACTCTCTCCGATTTTATCCCCGTAATATTATTCCCAACGGTGTTGAAGTCATTGCCTCTTCCGCCCTGTCTTTTTTCTTGGGTTGGAGAGTTTTAGTGCTCACTGATGGGGATTGCGAGCTGTTGCTGTTTTGTTGGTCGGTGTTCGCCTTAGAAGAATCCTCAGAACCTTGTTTCTTATCACCAAGCGGAGGCTTCAGATATAGCCAGCCGGTAGACATTTTCATCGTCTGGGATCCTTGTCTGGAGGTATCGATATAGCCAGAAAAAGTTACTATAGTTTCTAATTGTAAGTGAAGCCAAACGAAACTCTTTTTCTTTATATATAAGACAATGGCGAAAGATAAAGCAACCAATTGGCAGAGCACGTGGGTCCATTAGCGTGTTGAATAAAGAATAGGAGTGAGTAAAAGACTTTTGCTCATGTGGGTGTGAACCTGTTTAACAATTGCGCTTCATGATGACAATAGAAATTTGATGGGGTTAGTGTTTTTAGTTGTTTATGATTAATAAAGTTTACATAATTAATTAGCATTTGTCAGCATTTGTCTAAACATAATTTATTTAATATTAGTAGCAGCCCTCACCATTTCAATTTGGATCTACACAATTTTTTATTTCCCATCATGTGAAAGAAACATGAGCACCAATAGGAAAAACGAAAATTTTCCACCCACATAAAATACCGTTTGAGTCTTGACTATACTAATCCAAGTTGATTATCAGGACTTTTTTTATTTGTTATTTCCATTTTTATCCTCACCTCTATACAAGATGGGTCTCCAAATGAAGCTGAATACCTGCACAAGGAGATGGCAACAAAACCCTTTACTGGTTCCTCTAGAAAACTTTCTGAAACCGAAACAGAGCTCCCACAAAAAGAAACTGAAACAGTGCTCCCACAAAAAGAAACTGAATCAGAGCTCCCGCAAAACAGAACTAGTGAGGCAGAAAATAGTAATAACCAGACCTACAACATTCGTGAGAATGTAATTACCGCAACAGAAAGCAGAAGCGTTGGGGTTTTCGACTTCAACAACGAATATCATGAAGGTGGTGCTGTCGATCATCATCAAGGAAGGAAGGGTCAAAACAAAACTGACTACAACATTGATGGCAACAAGATTGATTCAAAAGATGGGGAGTTTGTTGGGATCGGCAAATTCGGCAACAAGTACTACAACTCGAGGAAAGAAGAAGGAACGAGCAAGAAGCCATGGTATAAGTTTTGGTAAAAATAAACAAGAGAGAAAGTAAGGGAGCTGCGTTGCTGAATAAAGAAAGAGGCTTGAGTTAATTTCCATTTTATAGTCCATGTCTTTGTTTCTTTGTAGTGTCTACTATTTGAATGTGGTTAGTTACAGTATTGGAGTTGAGAATATGGTCTCTTGGGTCGATCTGTGGAATTTAAAATATTGATTTGCAGAATGAAAAATACGTTCTACATGAGAAAAGTTGGGATTATGAACCCCGAAGCCATGTGGGTCTTGATCAAAATCATAGAAGGATCAACCCCTAACGTATACTCATCAGTAATCTGTGTGTATTTGGATTTCTTATTAATTTGAGCAAACGAGAAGGGGAAACTTTCCCGCATTTGAATGCCATGCACAGCTGAAAGCTTAATTCTGAGCATGAGAAAGAACTAATAACGAAGAAATCTGACTTATTGATTGCCACAAAACCAGTCCATACATAAATCTAGATTTTCCTGCCCCATAACATGTGGTAGAGTCTTGACCTGCCCCATAAAATCTAGTTTTTCGCCAACTATTTATTTTTGTTCTTCTCAGTCGTGCCATTTTTTTTTCACTCAAGCCGCTTCCTTCATTTTTTGTTTTGCGTACTCACTATTGATATATTAAAGAAAAAAGAAGAAGCAATAACTAGAAGAAATGGTACGCTCGACTTCTCGCTGTACTTGTTGCCAACTTTGCTAATCCCAACACGCTCGCCTTTGTTTGCGTAAAATGTATTGCCACAAATGTTGTGGTTTCGACCCCTCCTTGGTTGATGAACATCAACACCACCTCCACCTTCTTCCTTGTAAGGGTCGTGAATTCCAATATCCGTGCTTTCAATTGCGAAGAAATCATTCTCATTAATGTTGAAGGTCTCACGTTGCTTTCATCAGTATATTCTGCCTCATTATTTTTGTTTTGCTACTCTTTCTCCTTGGGGCTCTTGTCCAAAAAACGTTCTAGGGCAACCAGAAAAGCGATTTCTTATCCTCTCCTGGAGGGTTTGATTCAGTTGATCAGCTTCAGATTGAGATCGAGACCCATCTTACGTATATGCAAAGATAAAAATGGAAAGATCTTCAAATAAGTGGAGGCAAATACTCCAAAATCAATTGGAAGACAATCTTTCAATAACTGGAAGTTACTATTGTAAACTAATTACATAAATTCCTTAAACCCTATACACACATAGAATCACATCAAGGAAAAGATCTTGAATCAAATAAAATTTCCTACTCTCTCTGATTTTATCCCCGTAATATATTATTCCCAACGATGTTGAAGTCATTGCCTCTTCCGCCCTTGTCTTTTTTCTTGGGTTGGAGAGTTTTGGTGCTCAAGGAAAAGAGAAGTTCACATTAATTATATAATAAATTATAATTGGTGCTTGCAATTATCAATTATCTAGCTAATTGATTACGTTGAAATTATAATTATCTTGCAATTATCAAAAGAGGACCCCTCTTGTCCTAACCAAAGAGGGACCGGACTGAATATAATTAGGGAAAAAATACGTGCACCTCCAGATATTAACAACAAACTGACACTCAAAAAATAAGTGGTTAATAGTCTCCATATGATTCTTACACAGAGGGCATTCTGGATTGATATTAGGTAAAAATTTGTAAAGATGGCTTCTAACTTGCAGTCTTTTCCGAATGAGAAGCCATGAGAATAGCTTAACTTGAGTGGCTGGCTTCGCTACCTCATACCAAGGCTGCCGATGGCCCAAATGCTCTTTCCAAAGCTCTTCTTCTATGCTAGCAGATCTGGGAAGCCAGGAACAACTGCATTTTTAAAGACATCGATCCACACCCAGTTAAAGTGCTAAATGTGGCTGGTCGCATTGGGCTAGATTATTGGAAAATTAACTCTTGTCCTCCTAAAAAATCTAATGGAAAGGTTAACATCAAGTGGGAACCACCGCCGTTGGACTGGGTTAAAGTGAATTTTGATGGTTCGGTGCGTGGGAATCTGGCTGCTACTGGTTTTGTGATTCGTGACTGGAATGGTAATGTTCTTTTAGCTGGCGCTAAAAACTCTGGTCAAGTTTCTATTACAATCGCAGAGTGTTTGGCTCTTCGGGATGGTCTAGCGCATGCTATTCATAAGGGTTGGCGAAAGATTCTTGTGGAAAGTGACTCAAAGCTTATCATTGATTGTGTTAATAATCTGGTTTTGGTTCCCTGGAGCATAAGTATCCTTGTGCAAGACATTCGGTTGCTCAGTTCTTATTGCGAAGAGATTTCTTTTAAGCACATTTTCGGGAGTCTAACTTTACTGCTGATGCTGTTGCTAGCTTAGGCCATAGTCTTACTCCCTAGGGGTCTACCGTTAAGCTGTACAGTTCCTTTTTATTTTGACTTGGTAGGGCCTGTGTGCCAGCGTGGTTTCCGATTGTAATTCATTTTCCAAAAAAAAAAAAAAAAAAAAAAAAAAAAAAAAAAAGGGACGGAGACTACTTTTAAAGTGGCCATGCTTGTGGAAAAAATTATACAATACATTGTACATAGAATTTGGAAAGTAGCAATTTGAATAATCACCAGTGTTGTCCAGGGCAACTAGGTCATCGCCCGGGGTCCACAATTGAGAGGGGCATAAATATGACGTTTTAATATGTGTTTAGGTCAGTTGCCAAGCGGGTATAGTATTTGTATGAGATATTTCTTAGAATGAACAGGAATTCTTTGTAGAGATTTGTAACTTTTTTCGATCATGAGTGATCGTTAGTGAATGCACATCATATTGTCTTAATTTGATGTTAGATCGTTTTTTATTGTAATTGCCCCTTATGACAAGTTTGTATTGATCATTTGTGACTAATTACTTTTTTAGCTAAATTATGTATGCAATTCCAGAATTTCTCAATAAAAAAATATAATTAATAATAGTCATGATCGATAGTGTAGTACAAAAGGTACTTCTGTGGAAAAAATATTTGACTTCTTCGGACACGCACATGCACCTTTGAAAGAGAAGTTCACACATAAATTATATAAGAAATTGTAATTAGTGCTTGCAATTATAAATTGTCTAGCTAATTGATTACATTGAATTTTTGTTTTGATCACATGCAGGACTACTTTAGTACAAATGCTAAGAGCATCTCCAGTGCAGGGCCCAGCCCGGGGGAAAGGCTACCAGAGGTAGCCCGAGGCAGCTCCAGCGCAGGGCCTGTAGCCCGGTTTGGTGGTGGGTCCCACGAGCCCGAGGAAGCCCAAGTGCAAGTCTTGCCCGGGCTGAAGCCCGAGTTGGGTGACGTCAGCGCTGGCGGCACGCTGACGCCAGCGCACGGTAAGTCAAATTTTTTTTACCGTTGGCGCGTGAATTACACGCGCCAACGGTAAAAAAAATTTGAGTTCCGTGAGCTGGCGTCAGCGTGCCGCTAGCGCTGACGTCAACCACTAACAGCTCCAACGGGCGTGTGCCACGTGGCGCTACGGGGACTCTCGGATGGATTTTTTCCAGAAATCCGACGGTCCTCGTTTTTTTGGCTCAAAAAAATTGCAAAAAAAATCGAAAAAATTCTGAAATTTTTTTAAAAAATACCCAAAAATTATGTATTTTTTCTCTATAAATACCTAACCATTTTATTTACTTTCCACACTAAAATCTTCATACAATTTCTTCTCCATTCCATATTTTTTACTCTTTACTCACATTATTCACTTTCCACACCAATTCTTCATACAAACTTTTCTCCTTCCAATTTTTTTGTTATCTCCACTCACATTTTTCACTTCCACACCAATTCTCCATACAAACTCTTCTCCTTCCAATATTTTTTACTCTCTTTCTACTACTTTCCATTTGTATAAAAAAAAACAAATGGCATCTTCTATTGAAGTCGGAGGGTCGTGGTCAACGAATGAAGATATTGCGTTGTGTCAATCTTGGGTGAACATTAGTCATGACCCTATCACGGGTAATGAGATGAAGTTTCATCACATGTGGAGCAAAATTCATGGAGAATTTTGTCAAAGATCGGGTTCTATTCGGACCGAAATGGCGTTGTCTAGTAGATGGAAACTTCTTAATAAAGAGTTAGGGAAATGGAGAAATGCCTTGACAAAAGCAAAGGCGAACATTCAAAGCGGTCAAAATTTGACCGATGAGGTAAAATATTTATAATTGCCATTTTAATCAATTCAATGTCACTTTTTTTTTATTGCATATTCTATTTGTTTTTCTTGCATAATTTTTTTTTCTTGGTGCACCTTTAATTTGTCTATATTTTCTTGCATAATCAATTTTATTTTTGCATTTCAAAATAGTTTATATTTTCTTGCATAATAATTTTTGTTTCTTGCACTTCCAATTATTTATTTTTAATAGATGGTACAAGCACAAATGTGGTTCGGTGCCATGGGGCAAGGCAAAAAAAGTTTCGTGCATTTCCAATGTTGGGAAATTGTGAAGGATTGTTCGAGATTCAAAATTATTCCCACCGGTCCGCCGGTTGTGATGAATGAGACGCCACTCCACGATTCAACATCAACCAATTCTCCATTGGACTCCCCAATGGAAACGGAGTCACCATTTGTGCCACGTCCGCCAAGACCTATTGGGAGAAAGACGGCAAAGGCCAAGAGAGGGGCCACTTCGACCAATGATTGTGTACAATTATTGGAGCAAATAGCTAAGAGCACCTCACTAAGAATCGAGAGAGACTTGAAAAGAGATGAAATGGACATGGCACGAGAGGAAGCATTTGTTCTCCAACAACAAATGGCACAAGAAAAAGACATAGAGGATAGAGAGATGAAAATCATGGCTATGGATACAAGCCATATGTCTCCCGAAACAAAGGCCTATTGGAAGCTACGACGAAGAGATGTGATGAGGAAAAAACTTTTCAATGATGACAGACCTAGCAATACGGATTGGTTAAATGATGAAAACCATTAGGAAGCAATTGAAACACCTTTGCCATATTTTGTATTGTTGTATTATCCTTTAATTTGTTGTATTGTTGTATTATCCTTTAATTTGTTGTATTGTTTCCTTTTTATTCAATAAAAAAAGCATTAAATAAAATGACTATTTATTAAAAACATTTGAGCATCAAAACAAATATTAATTAAAAAAAACCTTCATTGATTGCAAACAACACACAAAACAAACCATACATAAAAGCATAATAATAAAAAGCATAATTCCAAAAAAAAAACCACACACAAAATAAAGCATAATTAAAAACAAAGCATAATTCCAAACAAAACCACACACAAAACAAAGCATAATTAAAAACAAAGCATAATTCCAAACAAAGCACTAATCTTGACTTCATCCATTGTGATTGCCTTTCATCTCCCACAAGTGCTCGATCAAGTCACGTTGACGTATCTCGTGAACATATGAAGATTGCATTTCTTGATACCGATCAATCATGGGGTTGTTGAATTGACCATCCCGAAGTATGGGTTCGGGCTCCAGTGGTAGTCCATTTGGTCCAATCGGCCTTTCATATATTCTTGTCAACGATGTGTTCATTGGATCGGGTTCAAACACCTCTTCAGCATCATAGTCATACTCATCCTCCACAATCATGTTGTGAAGGATGATGCAAGTCATCATAATACTCCGCAGCACCTCCTCATCTAGCATCCGAGCAGCACCTCTAATAATTGCCCAACGAGCTTGCAAGATACCGAAACACCTCTCCACGTCTTTCCTGTAACCTTCTTGAAAGGAAGCAAAGTTTCTTTCCTTCTCGGATTGGGGATTCAGAATTGTTTTCACGAATGTCGTCCACCTAGGATAAATTCCGTTGGAAAGGTAGTACGCACCAGAGTAAACGGTATTGTTGATTTGGTACGTGACCTGGGGGGAATGACCTCGCAATACCTCATTGAACACTGGGGATTGACCAAGGACATTGAGGTCATTCTAAGAACCGGCAACCCCGAAGAAGGCATGCCAAACCCAACAATCGAATGAAGCTACGGCCTCCAAAATTATACTTTTTTGGCCCTTCCGATTCCCGTACTCCACTTGCCAAGCAGTAGGATAGTTCTTCCACTGCCAGTGCATACAATCGATGCTTCCAATCATTCCTGGGAAACCTCAAGCCTCGCCTTTTTGTAGAAGCCGTTGCAGGTCTCTTGGCGCTGGTTTGCGAAGGTACTCCCCCGTGTACAAATTTTCCACTGCATCACAGAATCTCACCAAGCACTCTAGGACAGTAGATTTTCCCATCCTTGCAATCTCATCCACCTGCTCTGCAGATGCCCCATAAGCAAGCATCCGCAAAGCAGCTGTCAGTTTTTGCTCCGGGATAAGACCTAAAGCTCCAACAGCATCATGCTTTTGAATGAAGTATGTGTCGTAATTACAAATATCATGCATGATTTTTTGGAACAAATGTGGTTGCATTCTATATCTTTCTCGAAACTTAGAAGCAGGATATAACGGATTTGGGATAAAATAATCCTCCATGAGATTCTTACCCCGAGACTCCCTACGTCTGTCCACATTCGGGGCACGAGGACGACGGTGTTGCCTTGATTGATCCATCATACACACCGCTGTTGCAAGCAGTAGTTCCTCTTCTTCATCGGCTTCCCGATCTTCTTGAGCACGTCTACGCCTTGTTTCTTCCCTTTGTTTCTGTTGCCTCTCCAACACCCTCAACAAGTTTGACATTGAGAGTAGAATGTGTTTTCTACAATCTGAGAAATGAAGGAATAGATAAGAGATGGTGTGAGAGGTATGAATATCAGGTCTAGTTTATAGACGGATTTAGAAGATAGAGATGACACGTGGCACAATTTGAGAGGATGAAAATCTTATCTAAAATCTGAGATTATAATTTTTTTTTAAATATCTGAAAATGTTATCTGACATTTGACACGTGGCACAATTGTAGAGGGTGAAAATCTAATCTGAAATATGAGATTATAATTTTTTTAAAATATCTGAAAATGTTATCTGACATTTGATACGTGGCACAATTGTAGAGGGTGAAAATCTTATCTGAAATATGAGATTATAATTTTTTTAAAATATCTGAAAATGTTATTTGACATTTGACACGTGGCACAATTTTAGAAGGAATTTTCTTGGAATAATTTTTATTAAAATCTGAAATACCGAAAATTAACTACGAAACTTTAAATGACAGGACCCGTCTCGAATTTCCCGAAACCCGAGACGAACCCTGCGGAGACCCCGGCATCACACCCATGCCGAGTTCACTCCTTAAAACTATGTCCTCTTTTACCAGAGAGGATTTAGGGCACGAGACTTTCTGCCAAAATTTCGACAAAGTCTTCCCTATAAATTGAACATCCCCCAAAATTTCCACCTGCATAAAGCACATTTTATAATCCAACCAGCAGCACGCACAATATAATCTCATGCAATTTACATAAATGGCCTCCGGCCTTCAATGATTCTAACAAACTGCCCACACTGTTTTCAAAATAACTTACTGCATCACACATGCATATAACCAATTCAAAATCCATCCATACACACCTTCACTCACTCAGTCCATCGGACAAGCCTCAATTCAACCAAGTTTCGGGACCAACCACAAGGTCCGCATCATACACGATAAAACCACCTAAGTGGTGTCTAAGTCGTGGCTGCACCTAGGCGCTATCCCAGGCTGCCTACGTACCCTACTAAGGGATCAAGCCACACGTAGCTCTTTCCTATCAATCCTGGCTCCTGATATCAATTAAACCATCACATCCATATAAATTCATACATTCTCGGGTTTATCCATCACAACACACCCAACATAATCACATAGCTCCCACTCATACGTCGGGACGCACCCGGCCACGTACGGGGTCTGTCAACACGCCGGCTAATCCAAAGACGCGTGCGACCTCACACTTGGACCTGGCTACATTCTCACCAGCCATCATACCATCATATCTCCCACTCATACGTCGGGACGCACCCGGCCACGTACGGGGTCTGTCAACACGCCGGCTAACCCAAAGACGCGTGCGACCTCACACTGGGCCTGGCTACATTCTCACCAGCCATCATACCATCATATCTCCCACTCATACGTCGGGACGTACCCGGCCACGTACGGGGTCTGTCAACACGCCGGCTAACCCAAAGACGCGTGCGACCTCACACTGGGCCTGGCTACATTCTCACCAGCCCTCATACCATCATATCTCCCACTCATACGTCGGGACGCACCCGGCCACGTACGGGGTCTGTCAACACGCCGGCTAACCCAAAGACGCGTGCGACCTCACACTGGGCCTGGCTACATTCTCACCAGCCCTCATACCATCATATCTCCCACTCATACGTCGGGACCACCCGGCCACGTACTGGGTCTGTCAACACGCCGGCTAACCCAAAGACGCGTGCGACCTCACACTGGGCCTGGCTACATTCTCACCAGCCATCATACCATCATATCTCCCACTCATACGTCGGGACGCACCCGGCCACGTACGGGGTCTGTCAACACGCCGGCTAACCCAAAGACGCGTGCGACCTCACACTGGGCCTGGCTACATTCTCACCAGCCCTCACACAATCATAACTCCCACTCATACGTCGGGACGTACCCGGCCACGTACGGGGTCTGTCAACACGCCGGCTAACCCAAAGACGCGTGCGACCTCACACTGGGCCTGGCTACATTCTCACCAGCCCTCACACAACCATATCTCCCACTCATACGTCGGGACGCACCCGGCCACGTACGGGGTCTGTCAACACGCCGGCTAATCCAAAGACGCGTGCGACCTCACACTATCACTTGGGCCTGAGCATAATCACAATATGAGGGGTACGTGGGGTAGTGCGTATAGCACTGTAAACTAATAATCCATCTCCTTATATATCATTTTACCTCCACACAAATAATTAAATATAACATATAATTTCTAATCATACAAACACCTTAACAAACAACTAGCATCCGATAATCCCCCATAATCCCCATGACATCAGGACCTGTCACCACGGTCATTTTAATCTTCCTAGGAATGTAATACTACCTAGGAAGTCCCACAGACAAACCAGGGTCAAACTACCCAACCTTGGTCAAACGGGCCCGCGGGGCCCACAATCTCCAAATTCCAATCCGAAAGCTCCTATAGGTTCTATAGGCTCTAGGACACATGTCCTGCAAGTTTGGTCTAGATCAGACGGTCGGATCGCTCACGATCACACGATCGGACGGTTACTAAAACCCTAACCCCAGGGTTGGCATTTCCGGAGTATCCGGGACTCCGTTTTACGATCCGTCGAATCCTACACGATCCTGGTAATACCCAGATCAACATATTATAACTTCAGGACCATCCAACGGTCCAAACCTAGCGAACCCGGAAAATACGCGATATGCGATATCCGTTCGGAACTCTAACGATATCCAAATGGAGATCCGAGCACACCTACGCGCTCATGACAACCTGAGGATCATTTTAGAACCTCGAGCCGGTCCAATTTCCTTGCCCACGCGCCGCCACACGCGCCGGCAGCGCGTGGGTGCCTTGAGTAATTTCCGGCGGCCGGAAAACTCCAAACCGCCGGCCAAGCTTCCTATCCTAGATGTAAAACCCTATTCTGAGCCACTTTTGTTCTTGGGCATACCCCAAAATCTGACCGGAAGTGGCCGGAATCTCATCCCGAAATCCGGCCGAAACCCAATTCGTAAATCGAGTTGCCTACGCTACAAATCGATCAATTCCTACCCAACAGGCAGCTAGAGCTCGGAAAATAGGTGAGAAACCATACCTTGATCGCAAGATTTGGTGGCCGGAATCGCCGGAACGAGCTCCGGAAAATCTGGGTAAAAACCGGCCGTTTTTCTGCAATTTCCGGCGATACCGCTGCCGGCTGACATCGGAGAATGGGTGGGGTAGGACGGCGAAGTCAGGCCGGTCATTTTGGGACCGGTCCCGACCCGAGTGGTGGCCGGACGAATGAACGGCCGGCCAAAACGTGGCCGGCTGTGGTGGCGGCCGCGAACCAGAGGAGAGAGAGGGACGCGCGGGAGAGAGAGAGTGTGTGAGAGACGGGGGCAATTCCGTCTTTTAACCAAAAATCCCACTTCAAAATATTTACGATTATGCCACTGAGCTCCATTTGATCATATCTCTCTCGTTACAACTCCGATTCGAGCCCACTACGTGTCTACGGACTCATCTCACCGTGCTCTACGCAACGGTACAACCGGAATTCCCAAAGTCCTTCCGGATAAGAAAATGACTAAAATACCCCTATCCCACGGGTAATTTCTCAATTCCACTTAAATAAATTAAAACATGGGATAAATTTGGGGTCGGGGTGTTACATTAAATGCCGTTTTGGAAGGCCAAACGACCTCAAAATGCCAAAATTCATCATACATCACAGCAAAGCAGTGAGTTTGACTCGTGGCGTCGTTCCCTTTCCGAAATGGTATTTTTCGTTCTAATCGGAGCTCGGACGACAAATCTGCAAATTCCCACTACGTCCTTTTTCTAGCTCAACCGCGATAAAATCTGCCATTTGGTCTACATCAGACGTGGCACAATTTTAGAGGGTGAAAATCTTATCCGAAAATTTAATTACAAAAGATTATCAAAATTAATGGTTTAAACTATAAAAAAATAGAAAATAAAGTACAATGAATAGTAATTGCCTTAGACTTGCCCTAGACTTTGCCCTTGTGGGTGGAACCACAAATGCAAAGACTGACACTATTCACGTGAATAGTGGCAGCCCTTACTTGCCCTTGCCTTAGACTTAGCCCTTGTGGGTGGAGATGCTCTAAGAGGGGCCGGACACAGACATTTGTAAGTGGCCATGTTTCACAGAGTGTACGTAATATATGCCCAGTTGGCTTCTAAACAAAGAGCTCATGTGTTTTGTAACAAACAAAAAACAAAACAAAACAAAACAAAAAAACCAAAACCAAAAAAAAAAAAAAAACAGCTTCCTTGTTTTATTTTTAGCCAGTCCACTGTTCATATTTATATCAAAATATAAAAATATGAACAATTTTATATTAACTTCTGCAGTTTCCTTTGATCTATACACATATTCTGGGCTTGTCACCTGTAAAAAATTTATATTGAAGGTCACCACGTGCCTAGTGATAATCTTTGGCTGTCTCTATGTTTTATCCTGTGTCTTCACATCACATCACATGTCACCACGTACCTAGGGAAAAACTATTTAACTAACAATAAAAATATTATGTAAAAATATTTTATGTAGTTATGATATGTATTAAAATAAAAATTCATTATAAATATAAACTATAGTTGCCTGTGATCTGACACATTATATATTATACTTGCACTCCTACTGAGAATTGAGGGGCTCAAGCAACTTTGATGCTTTCCAGTTTGTTTAGCGTAAATTACAACAACTTCCCCTCTTTTTAGCTGCAACGTTAGCAAAGATACTAGTGATATTAATTATTGGAGCATACATAAGCTTGAAAATAGGTATTGCTATTATTAATTTATGATTTTAAAATCTCAAATTCTACAATTTAAGGGATTCAAAACTTCAAGAGGGATGTTGAGTCAAACAATACGGGGTAAAATATTTTTTGATATATTTCCATTCATCCAAAGGAGGTATTTATAATACAAGTGTGTAAACCCTAGTAAGATTATACAAGAAAACAAATAAAATTCTAATTACACAAAATTTGTACAAAAGAGAAAAAAATAAAATCCAAATAGAATAGGAAATAAATATCCTAAATGAATTTTTCGAATATGGTGATGATCACCGTAAAGTTCATTTTAGTGTTCGAAAATACATAATACAGTCGGTTATAATAAACAAATTTTTTGATAACGAGAGATTTGTTATATCTATTAATGTTGGTAAAACTTCATTTTTCACGAAAATCTGATGAACGAACTCTGCTTCTTCATTTTCCATTTTTATGGTTCGCTGGCTTCTGTTTTTATCCATATATACTCCAAAAATCTGATGGCTTATTCTTCTGCTTCATAGAGCCTACTATGCCTGTGCTTTGGGGAGAAATCGTTATTAAATATTTCTGCATTTTGTTATATATATATATATCTTCCATATTTCCAAATTCATATTTCATCCGTAAAATAATGCCACTGTTGTTGAACTTGAGAAAGCATTAATATTGTATATTGACGACCATCAACATAATATATATTTTTATTTTATTCATCAAATTAATAGTACATGTAATTAAGAAGGGAGGGGAGGCCCTAGCTAGCTACAGACCTCAGTGAGTCATCAGTTCTGCTTCGTCTTCATCAGTACTGGATGCCGAGTCAGTTTCTCCACCGGAGTCGGCTAGTTTTTCTTTCCCGTGGCCTTTGTGGATGTGCGTGTTGCTAAACTCGAAAATTCCTACTCTCTCCGATTTTTTCCCCGTAATATTATTCCCAACGATGTCGAAGTCATTGCCTCGTCCGCCCTTGTCTTTTTTCTTATCTCTCTCATTCTTGGGTTTGACATTCTTCTGAGACTTACTGGTGTGACCATTAGACCGAGTTGACTTTGATCCAACGTTTAAGCTAGCAAATGCTTTCTCTGCACTATTGTCACCGTGCCTATCAAGCCTCTGCTCATATCCTTTTAAAATGTGGCAACTACATCTTGGGCATCAATAGTGTCTAGATCTTTTGTATTCTCTATCACAGCTGCAATACTATCATAGGATTTAGGCAGACTAATGAGTAGTTTCTGAACAAGTCGTTGATTGCTCAGATCCTCACCATAGCTCTTCATTTGGTTGATCAAATCAAACAACTTAGCAATATATCCAGACAAAGATTCATTACCATTCATCCGAGTATATTCAAATTCACGCCTAAGACTCTGAAGTTTCACGGATCTTACCTTCTTATCACCAACAAATTCTTGTTTCAGAATATCTCACGCAGCCGTTGCAGTTTCCTGAGTTTCTATTCTTGGAAAAAATTGATCTGATACAGCCCCTTGGATAATACCCAGAGCTCTAGCATCCTTCACCACATTCTCACGCATCAGCTTCCTCTCTTCCTTTGTGAGCTCCTTCTCCTCTTTCTTCGGAGTTTTGTACCCATTCTCCACAATATCCCACAGGTCGTTCGAACGGAAAATGGTTTTCATTTTGATTTGCCAGAAATCAAAATTTTCACCATTGAAGATTGGTGCCCTGAGTTCTCCTCCTCCAAATCCAGCCATGTTAGACTCGATCGCCGATGTAAGCTTGAATCACTGCAATAAGCCTTCGCTTATGAATCCTAGCTCACTTTAACAAACCCGCCATTAACGACACCTGCGCGACGACATGACATTTCGTCGCAAGATTCTCAGAACCTAAACCCTAAGCCGCCAAAAATTTCGACATCTTGCGCGACAAATGGTATTAATTGTGTAGCGCAAATACGCTAAGCGCGACGATAATTTATTTCGTCACGCAAGATTACCAGAAATAAATCCGTAAACCCTAAACCCTAACGGGAAATGTGGACAACTTGCGCGATGTATAAATTAATTCCGTCGCGCAAATCTCTCGGAAAACCAAAATATTTTAGTTTAATTCAATTTCTGTAATTTGTATTTTGTTTTTAGTATTATTTATTTTGTGAAGAATTAGTTTTAAATTTTTTAAATTTATTTATGAAATGACTGAATAAATAGTATTTAATTCTTTTATGGTCTTGAAAAACTATTTTAAATTTTCAAAAGTATTTTAAAAATAGTTTCTATTATTTAAAGTAGGCAAAAATTATATCTTGTGATATTTTGTTAATTATGGGGGGGAACATTGGTATTGCTTTTCTTTTTTCAAGCCTACTCCGATGTTAGTTACAAAAAATAAAAAAATAACTTATATCTCTCTAAAAATATAAACTCATAATCTGATTCAACAAAATAGAAATTAAATGGGTAGTCATCATTCATTGGAAGGGAATTTGTAGCGAAATTAAATTTTGAATTTTGATAAACATTTTTGCTTGTTTTTATAATTCTGAGGGTTACATATATATATCCTCAAAGTTTTTAAATGGGTTTGCAACTTTTATGACATAACACATGGGCTACATATATATCCTCAAAGTTTTACTCTTGTGTTGTTTTATCAAAAATAAAAATAAAAAATAAACTTTATTTGATAATCTTCAATGATACAATAGACATTTAAACTCCAAAATTTAACTCTTGTATTCTCTTTTTTCATATAAACATTTAATTCTTCACATGGCGCACATGAGGCCTAAAGGCCCGAAACAGAAATGGTTCTTGGATGTCTCTTCATATAGGCGTATTTTTTAACAACATAAAAGGGGGGTTTTCTTCATTTAATAATAGAGTAATGAACTTTCTCCTATTAAAAAAAAAAGTTTTAATTAACTTTATGACTTGCAATGACAAAGTTTGACATGTTGAGAAAGAGAAGGACAAAATCACATGGGCTGTAGCCATGCGTGGAACATCGCGAAGAGAGATGAATTCTTGATTTTAATTTTTCAAATTTTTCATGCTTGTTTCAATTTTCTGTATTCTTTCAATTTCAATAGTTTCAACTCCAACAAGAGAAAACCCTAATTCTTATATTCATAAATACCACTTAAATTCAAATAGTTAGATTCAATGTATATATTATATGATTAAATTTGTGATTAAAAAAGTCAAATTCAAATTGTGTGCAACTTGATTTTAATTTGTGATTGCCATCTTTACACTACCATAATTAAAATACACAAAATTAAATTTACTATTTACATGGGTAGTCACTAATAAATTGCATTATTCATCATCTGAACTATAATAACCTTCGTTATCGTCGCTATCATCACTTTCGGTTTCCCAATCCTCCTCCTCATCACTTTCGTAGTTCGGGCCCACTGGAACATCATATCGTTGAAGATCACCGAGGTCAATTGTAATTGACTGAATCGGTATTTCGATTGAAGACACTCCTTGAACCTGAAATGGTTCTTGTATAACATTTGTATCTCGAAGTGTTTCTGCATCATTTTCCATGGAAGACTCCAAACGTTGGTCAGTGACGTCGTTGTCAATTGGGTCTAGTTCTGGTATAGCATACACGTTCCTCTGATCCATATGCTGATCAACTTTCCAACCGCTCCTGGCTTTAGGGTCATCTAGATACACAATCTGTTTTGCCATGTTTGCCAAAATGAAAGGGTCGTCATCATACCAAGTTCTGTTAATGTTCACTGATATTAAGCCATGGTCGATTTTAACACTTCCTTGCCTATTTGGGTTTGTATCAAACCATCGACACTTAAACATGATCACTTGGTATTGGTCTTTGTAAAGCAATTGCACGACCGTTGTCAGTTTGCCATAGAAATCAATGTCCATACTTTCGCCTCCACCTGGGACATGGACACCGCTGTTTTGCGTACACAACTTGTCATCTCGTGCAGCCCCTAAAAACTTGATGCCGTTAACATGGCAACCCGAGAACAATTCAGCCCGAATCGGGCCGAACGCCAAGTTATATAACTCTTCACTGTAAGTGGGGGAATTCGATGATTTCAACTTGTTGACCTAATATTATACAAAAATATTCACATGTTAATTTGAGAACATTAAATAATACAATATATATCTCAATTACAAAACACTTTTAACTTACAATTTCCAAAAACCATTGTGGAAACAATTCACGGTGTTTCGTGGCATACAAATGTGATGGATGTTCTCGCTTCATCATCTCTTCATGCTCATCTAAGTATGCCATTATCTCATCACAATTGTTCAGTACGAACCAATGTGCTACCTGCATGTCATTTATGGAAAACGACTCTCCTCGTACAGGATCTCCAAATGGTCGTGCTCTTTGGGCAAAAACAGAAAGTTTCTCATTTCTCACACCTCCGTCATTATTGCGTTGAGGACGATTGAAAGCTGTGTCCACATCTTGTAAATACATTCCACAGAAAGTAAGCGACTCATATTGAACCCAAGCCTCTATAATTGACCCTTCGGGCTTCGCCCTGTTGCGTACAGTTTTTTTCAGCTCTCCAAGCAGCCTGCGAAAAGAAAACGATATGGTACAAATTATGAGGATAATATACCTTTCAATTGGATAATGATGCATAAACAAATGATGAGGATTATATACCTTTCTATTGGATACATCCAACGATAGTTGACAGGACCAGCAAGCAATGCCTCTTCTGGCAAATGAACCATCACGTGGATCATACTTGTGAAGAAAGCTGGAGGGAATATCATCTCAAACTTGCATAGGACTTGGACAATGTCATGGCGCAATTGATGCATGTCCGTCTTTCGCAATGTTTTTGCCGTCAGTTGGGAAAAAAATCTGGACAACAACATGATCGGTTTCACTACATCTTCCGGAATAGGTGTCGAATACCTACAGGAAGTAACCGTTGCATAAACACATGGCAATCATGGCTCTTAAGTCCAGTAAATTTACCCTCGTCAACATTCACGCAACGCGCGATATTAGAAGCATACCCATCGGGAAACTTTACCGACGATACAAACTTTAGAAATTCTTTTTTGTCATTCGGTTTCATGGAAAAAAATGCCAGATCCCTTCTAGCTTTATCACCGTCCCTGTTCATCCATAAACCTCTTCGTATGCCCATTCTTTCCAAATCAAGACGAGCTTTGATCGTGTCCTTTGTCTTGCCCTCGATGTCTAGAATCGTACCTATCAAAGTGTCAAACACATTTTTCTCAACATGCATAACGTCAAGATTGTGTCTCAATTTTAGTTTCGACCAATATGGGAGCTCAAAGAACATAGACTTGTGCGTCCAGTTCATATGTGTAGAAGGTCTGGTTCGACTAACTGTTTTGCCGAACGGAGCAAAATCCAAACGGTTAAGCTGTTCCAAGATGTCATCACCAGACCATTCTCTAGGTCTAAGGCGAGGCTCTGTGTTCCCGTCGAACTATTTATCCTTTTCCCGCCATTCGTGGTCCCATGGCAACCATCTCCGATGACCAAGATAACAAACTTTTCCGGCATGCCAACTAGAAGTTACATCTTCCTTGCACATAGGGCATGCCATATAACCCTTTGTGCTCCACCCAGAAACCATTGCATATGCAGGAAAATCATTAACAGTCCACATCACTGCTGCCCGCAAAGTGAACATCTTCCCAGTGGATTTATCGTACGTGCGCACACCGTTTGGCCATAAATCCTTGAGCTCATCAACCAACGGCCTTAAGTAAACATCGATTGACCTACTAGGATCCTCAGTTATCAAAACAGTCAACATCATGTACTCTTTTTTCATGCATTTCCAAGGCGGCAAATTGTATGGAAATACGAAAATCGGCCAAGTGTTGTGGTGTTGGTTTAGAACCCCGTACGGATTTAATTCGTAAGTGGCAAGTCCCAATATAACATTTCGAGGATTAGCAGCAAAGTCAGGGAACGTTCGATCGAACTCTTTCCATGCTTCCCCATCTGCAGGATGCCGCATCACATCATCGTCTACCTGTTTTTCCTTATGCCATCTCATGTCTGTGGCAGTATGTGTCGACATATACAATCGCTGAAGCCTAGGTTTCAGAGGCAGATAACGCATGACTTTTTGTGGGATCTTAGTCGTTCTATTCTGAGATGTCATTTTGAACCTCGACTCATTGCATATAGGGCATGTATCCAATGTTTCATACTCTTTGTAGAATAACATGCAATTATTTTTGCAAGCGTGAATTTTTTCATAACCCAATCCAAGACCATTCAACACCTTCTGCGCGTGTTTATGGTCTTTCGGCAAACAATTGTCCGTCGGAAGCATTCTCTTGAAAACCCCCAAAAAGTAATCAAAACACAAGTTCGACATACGATATTTTATTTTTCCGTGCATTAGCTCCACAATGGCCGTGAGAACGGAAAAGCTCTTGCACCCTGGGTATAACTCTTGGTTGGCATTTTTTAATAGTTTTTCATATTGTTCGAACTCTATACTGTCCATTGGTGTAGGCACGTCATCTTCCCCTTCCTGATTGATGTTCGTCGATGCAAATGGAAAAACATCGTTTATAATATCCATCACTTGTTCATTAGGATCCACAATAGGTTCAACATTGTCCACTCTTATGGCATTTGAAGACGAAGCATTGTCTAATTGTTCTCCGTGAAGGTTCCAAATGCTATATGTCTCAATCATTCCATTCCTTACTAAATGAAATCCAACATTTTCAATTGTCTCCCACAATGTGTTGTTACACCTCCTACAAGGACAATGGATTCTAGTTGCACCCGGGTTGTGTCTACGTGCAAACTCAATGAAATCCTCGATTCCATCCAAGTATTCGTCTGCGCATCTATTCGGGTTCTGTATCCACAGTCTGCTCATAATTCCTGGAACCACAATCACAACACAACAATTACAAAAACTTCATACGAAGTTATAATGTCACCTTATGCCTCCGGTAAGGGTCCTATCCCATTCGGGAATGCATAATCCTGTCACGTAACCTACGGCTACATGAGATTAGATTTCGACGTGGAAGAATTTCGGCAGCCTCTCGATACAGTTCTTGAGGTGGGCATAGGTATAAATACCTACGTACCACCCGAAGAATGTACCGAGATGACACCGAAATTTCCACAATCGAAACCTAGTCCTGTAGCCGTAGATTACGTGACAACACTATGCATTACCAAACTGTCCAAATAATGGGACAATTCAAGAATTAATTGGACCGCAGTCATGCATTACGCATCCATGCACGAAATCCAACTAATCTCGAACGGGAAACTAAGTTTTAATACAATAAAAAAACAAAGTACGAAGTTAATTTCAATTAACTTCGTACATCACAACACATTGTGCTACGTAACGGACAATTTAACAACATAATATAAATATAATTTCACAACAAAAAATATTAAAATAATCAAATACCTTCTCAATCGTTTTCCACCAATCGCAAATTACAATTATCCCTAAAGACAACGAAATTAATCGCGTTAGTGTGAATTTAAATTAATACTTTCAAACTAACGACTACAAATACATACCTAATGACCGTAGTCAACTCCCAGCATAAGCAGAAGCTGCAGTAGATCCAGAGGCAGGCAGAGCAGAGTTTTTTTTTTGAAGTCTACCTCTGCAATGGCAGAAACCAGCAAATGAAGGAGAAGAGTTTTGCGTGACGAAGACATTATTCGTCGCGCAAAAAATGAAAACTTCCGTCGCGCAAACAGGACACTTTCGTTGCGCAAAATCCCAATTTTGTCGCCCATATGTCCCGTTTCATCGCGCAAAAAATTTCTTCCGTCCTGCAACTTCGTGCCGACATCCAGATTTTGCGCGACGCAAAGTTTTTCATTGCGCAAAGTGTTCTCGCCTTTATTGTCGCGCAAAATTAGGAAGCCGTCGCGCAAGGTATGAGCCCAACTTCTTGCGCGACGACTGTCCTTATCGTCGCGCAAAAGATCTCTTTTGCGACGATTCTGGTCGTCGCGCAAGTGTTTGTCACCAGAGATAAATTTTGGCGGATGTTATATACCTTTGCGCAACCAAACTTTTTTTCGTCGCTCAAAACAATTTAGCGCGACGACTTTGTTGTCACGCAAGGTTTTGGCGCCATAAAAACTTTCCCGCGTTTTTTTTTCCTCCCTTTACGCGACAAGAGTCTTTTTCATCGCGCAAAGTTATCTTGCATGACAAATTGAATTTGTCGTGCATCTTTTTCACACTTTGCGCGACGAGTGTGTTTTTCCGTCGCATATTGATCTCTTGCGCGATGAATACTACTTCGTCGCGCAAAATGCGGTCGCGCAAATAGGAAAACGTAGTAGTGTCAACTTGGAAAAGTCTTCCCTCCAGCCACCAAAAAAAAAAAAAAAAAAAAAAAAAAAAAAAAGAAAAAAGGGACTTAATTTGTGTGTGTGGAGAAAGGTTCAAGATTTTCATTTTTTGTTCAAATCTCGACTGTGTGAGTATATTTCATAAAAATAAAATAAAATAAAATAATTACAAACTAACAATCCAAAAATAAATTAAGCAAAATCAAACTTAGGCAAAACCAAATCAATCCTAAAGATACCAATGGAAAGAAGCTTCAAATAAGTTGATTTTTAAAGTTAATGTGTTATATATCTGCAATAATCATGGGGCATTCTAAAAGACTCTATTATCAAAGAAATCCTAGCCTTGTCTCTGTCAAAAAAATACTCCTAGAGCCGTTTCACTTTCAAGAGGGAGGAAGTCACAGTTCTTCTTCTCCACCCCCATATTCTCTTCCTCCCTTCTCCTCTTTCCCTATTTTCAAAGGCAGAAGGTTTCTCCTATTTGTCTTAGTTTTGTTATAATTTTCCTCCAACCATCACATGTGGTTGTGTCTTGGTATTGGATCTCCACCTGCGTTTCGGCGTTGGATCTCCACCACCATCTTTTCTGCGGTTTCTTTATATTTGGAATAAGTCATAGAGACTCTTTGGGTTCTCTATGTAGTTTTCACCTCTCCTTTTGTAAAAGCTTTTCACCTCTCCTTTGTGAGAGTTTTTTTTATCTCTCCTTTGTGATAATTTTATTTGAATTGTTATGACTTAGTTTTTTGAAGCTTTATCTTTTTTTTTATTATTATGAGTTTGCAATCTTAGTTGGGATGCCTATGCTAGAGTTTCTTCGATCATAAATGATCGTTAGTGGAGGCACACCATATTGTCTTAATTTTGATATTAAATCGCTTCGTTATTGTAATAGCCCTTTGTGATTAGTGACTTTTTTTTATCTGAATTATAAATGTAATATGAGAATTCCTCAAAAAAATATGTATAATAGTCATGATCGGACACGCACATGCACATTTGAAAGAGAGGTCTTTTTACCAAAAAAAAAAAGAGAGGTCCACACATAAATTATATAATAAATTATAATTAGTGCTTGCAATTATAAATTATCTAGCTAATTCATTACGTTGAATTTTTGTTTTGATCACATGCAGGACAAAAGAGGACCACTCTTGTCCTGATGCAAAGGGGGGCCGGACATACATTTGTAAGTGGCCATGTTTCACTGAGTATACGTAGTAAAAATATGAACAATTTATATAAAAATATAAAAATAAAAAAATTTGAACAATTTTATATTAACTTCAGCAGTTTCCTTTGATCTGTACACGTACGCATATTCTTGGCTGGTCACCTGCAAAAATTTTATATTGAAGGTCACCACGTGCCTAGTGAAAATCCTTGGCCGTCTCCATGTTTTATCCTCTGTCTTCACATCACATGTCAACACCTACCTAGTGACAATCTTTATGTGCTTTGTCATATGGTGCTCTATTGATAATAGAGGGTTCTAGTTATTTAATTAAGGTCATTTTTCATTATTATTAAGAATTTGAGATTCTTTTATCGTTAAAAAAAGAAATATCACTCAACCTTAAGGTTAACTATGAATCAGAGTGAGAATAAATCGAATCAACATGAATTCTCATTAAAATATGTACTAACTATCATGAATCGAAATGAAGAAATGTTTAATTAGTGGAATGCATGCCCTCGAAGAATGTATATTTTATTTTATTTTTTCAAAAACCTACTACAACTTTTCAAATGGGAAAAACTATTTCACTGACAATAAAAATATTATGTAAAAATATTTTATGTAGTTATGATATGTATTAATATAAAAATTCATTATAAATATAAACTATAGTTGCCTGTGATCTGACACATTATATATTATACTTGCACTCCAACTGAGAATTGAGGGGCTCAAGCATCTTTGATGCTTTCCAGTTTGTTTAGAGTAAGCTTGAAAATAGGCGTGATCTTGAAAACTTACCCAGGTATTGCTATCCTATACATTATTAATTCTACAATTTTAGGTATTCAAAACTTCAACAACAATGGTGAGTCAAACAATACGGGGTAAAATATTTTTTTGATATATTTCCATTCTCTAAAATGAGGTATTAATAATACAAGTATGTAAACCCTAGTAGGGTTATACAAGAAAACAAATAAAATCCCAATTACACAACATTTATATACAAAAGAGAAAGAAATAAAATCCAAATAGAATAGGAAATAAGTATTCTAATCAAACTAGGATCTCGCCAACATGGTGATGATCACCGTCAAGTTCGTTTTAGTGTTCGAAAATACATAATACGGTTAGTTATAATAAACAAATTTTATGATAAAGAGAGATTTGTTATATCTATTAATGTTCGTAAAACTTCATTTTTCACGAAAAGCTGATGAACAAACTCTGCTTCTTCATTTTCCATTTTTATGGTTTGCTGGCTTGTGCTTTTTTATTTTGTTTTTATCCATATATACTCCAAAAATCTGATGGCTTATTCTTCTGCTTCATAGAGCCTACTGTGCCTGTGCCTTGGGGAGAAATCGTTATTAAATATTTATGCATTTTGTTATATAAATCTTCCATATTTCCAAATTCATATTTCATCCGTAAAATAATGCCACTATTGCTGAACTTGAGAGAGCATTAATATTGTATATTGACGACCATCAACAGAATATATATTTTTATTTTATTCATCAAATTAATAGTACATGTAATTAAGAAGGGAGGGGAGGCCCTAGCTAGTTACAGACCTCAGTGAGTCATCAGTTCTGCTTCGTCTTCATCAGTACCGGATGCCGAGTCAGTTTCTCCACCGGAGTCGGCTAGTTTTTCTTTCCCGTGGCCTTTGTAGATGTGGGTGTTGCCAAACTCGAAAATTCCTACTCTCTTCGATTTTTTCCCCGTAATATTATTCCCAACGATGCTGAAGTCATTGCCTCTTCCGCCCTTGTCTTTTTTCTTGGGTTGGAGAGTTTTGGTGCTCACTGATGGGGGTTTCGATCTGTTGCTGTTTTGTTGGTCGGTTCTTGCCTTCGAAGAATCCTCAGAACCTTGTTTCTGATCACCAAGTGGAGGCTTCAGATATAGCCAGCCGGTAGACATTTTCACCGCTTGGGATCCTTGTCTGGTTTGTAATTTATCTATATATATAAAGGCGGAAAGCCTCAAAAGCCCCAGAATACCCTTGGTAACCTAAAATACTAAATCGCATGATTTTAATTAAAATAGAATAAAACTGTAAAACAAAAATTAATAAAAGAAAAATAAAAACCAGCAGAATTTATTAATTTTTGCAAACACGTCCTAGAGAAACCGCTAGCCCTATTCATACACCTTCATCAGAGGTCTTGGGTGGTTCCTTCAAGTGTGGCTTATTCCATTATTGGTGAAGGAAGACCCCGCGTTATATCACCAGATCTAGATTTTTCATATATAAATGTAACTAATGTATCTCCTTCGGAAAGGATTTCTCCCTAAAGAATGGACATGACTGATCACAATTGCAGATGCCATCTCTTGATATTTTG